AAAGACTTCACATAGACTGCAAATTATGTTGCATGGTGTACTATTCTTAAAGCATCAATTCTTCCAGTCCAGGAGATGAGAAAGCTTTCCATGTATTCAGACCTTCTGCAAATACTTTTGTTAGTGTCTCTTTTTCTTCTTCAGCATACAGAACTTTCACCTTCTCGCCTATTATCTTTTTCATGATAAACGGGATCATTTTTTTGAATCTCATTTCAGGTAACTCTCTTCTAGCATAGAGGAGGTGACAGATTTTAAAATTCACACAAATTATGTATATTAATGGAGTGTGATGGTTCTAGACATCAAAATAGCATGCATTGATTAAAGCCAATCATCTTTTGTCAACCTTCCCCAACTCCACATACCCTCAACTTCTAGTAGTCCAGCGTCTACTGCCGAGAGGAATTTAACTTCTACAAATGAGAAAGAACACACGGTACTGGTCCATGTTCGGCTTATTTCATACAAATCCTCCAGGTTCCATCCATTTTGATGCAAAAGGCAAAATGCCATTCCTCTCTACGGCTGAATACAACATGTCATACAAAAGCTATACTTTTTCCTACCTGTGTATCTTTCTGTGCAGGAGCACCTGGGATGATTCCGTATTTTAGCTCATTTTTAAGCTAATACTTAAGCCTCACCCTGAAGGTTTCCCTCTCTGGTGCACTGATTTCATTCCCTTTCATCGCATTCAGAGAAGTAGGCCAGTTGCACCATATGTTAAGTCTATTCTGTTTTGTAAGGAACCAGGGAAACTCTGTAAGAGTCTCTGTAAGAGCTGCACTAGTTTGGCATATAAGAGTTCCCATTGTCCACATCGTTGCCGACAGTATTTTAAAATAAGTTGTCATAACTGGGTAAGCTGATTTCTTGTTACAGTTAGATTTGTTTTGTTTTTGTGCTAAAGACCAAGCCCGCACACATCATTCAATGCTCGTTCACTGATCTACAGTCCCTGCCACTTAGTCTAGGCTCAATACTTCTTTCCTTAGTGGCTAATTCCATCGCATACCCTTCTCCCCCTGAATCATTCTCGCATTTTGCATCCCTAAAATGAAAGCAACTTTACTTTTTAATAGTGTCTTTTAAAGTTCTTCCCTCATTACATCATTTCTGCAGTTTCCCCACCTTCCTCTCCTCCCAGGCACTCTCTTCAATTCCCCACCACCCATTTCCCCTTAGAAAAGGGCAGCCCTCCCAGGGACACCAACCAAACATGACATATCAAGTTGCAATAAGACTAGGTACCTCCCTTACATTAAGGCTGATTGAGGTAACCAAGCAGAAGGAAAAGGGTCCTAAAACAGTCAAAAGAGTCAGATACCGCCTCTGCTCTCTGTTAGGAGTTCCACAAGAACTCCAAGGTATGGCCAGGTGGTGGTGGCAGCATACGCCTCTAATCCCAGCATTCATGAGGCAGAGGCAGGTGAATTTTGTGTGTTTGAGGTCAGCCTGGTCTACAGAGTGAGTTTCAGGACAGACTCAAAAGCTACACAGAGGAACCAGCACAGACCTCTACAGGCCCCCTCATTCAGTCTCTGTGAACCCCCATGAGCCCAGGCTAGTTGATTCTGTGGGTTTTCTTGTGGTGTCCTTGACCCCTGACTCCCACAGTCCTCCTTCTCCCTCTTCTGCAGTTGTCTCCAAGTTCTGTCTAATGTTTGGCTGTGAATCTAACTTTGTAATGGTGAAAAAAATCTTTTTGATATATGGAATTAATTTGATGCCATATTGTTAAGAATTCATATATAATCACCAGGGATTCTGTATTATAGTTTGCTGTGCCCTGATCACATTTGGGTAACAGGTCAAGATGGCGACTCACTGAGTTACAGTGCTTGCTATGCAAGCCTGGAGACCTAAATCTAGATTCCTAGACACTACATAAAAGGCAGATGGAATAGCAGAAACATCTGTGACCTCATCGTGGCCATGGGAAAGAGAGGTGGCACACACAGGCAGAGGACTCTCCGAAACTCACGGGCCAGCTAGCCCAATGTATGCAGCGGTCAAGAAATCCTGTGTCAAAAGAATGAGAAAGCAAGGACTAGCACCACATAGTGTATGTGCATGCGTGCACGTGCACCGATTGTTTTTAAGAAATTAGAAATATTTCCTATGTTTATCTTTATGGAATAATTTGAGGATTTTCAGTATTCTCTAAGAGTTGGTAGAAATTCAGCAGTACAGTTATCCGGTTCCAGTGCTTTTATTTGAGGGGAAACTGTTTACTGGTGCTCCAATCCCATTGCTTCTTAGGTTAGTTTTTGTGCTCACAGATCAGCTTTGGTAGAATGTGCGTCCAGAGATCTGTCCATTTCTTTTAAGCCTCTAATTTGTTGATATAGTTTTTTTGGAAGTATCTGTAATAATCTGTGTACTACTGTGGTATTGGTTACAATACCCCATCATCACCAACTATATGTGAGTCACCTGCTGCTAATAATGTAGTTGTTTTATCTTTTTAAAGTATAACTTTTTACTTTTTGTTCCTATTTTGGTTAATTCTGCTCTAATTTTTGTTATTTTTTCACATCTGTCCATTACGGGTTTGGTTTTTTTACACTCTTGATTGAAATGCATTTAGGCTATCTTAAACATTTTTGGGGGGGATCTAGACACTAATTGCCATAGGCTTCTGTTGAGGATTGTGGACCCCCGACCCTGAATTTCCTGTAAACAACTTGTTATGCTTGCAGCTGCTCTGAGCAAAGCAACTTGTTTTCCTGTGTTTGCAGCTGCTCTGAGCGCAAGACCCTCAGGAGTTCCTGATGGCAGGGAAGTGGTTTCTGGTGGGTTTGGCTAGGGCGTGGCTATCAGTTAAGGATCCCTATATAAGCTGCCCTAGAACAAAATAAAAGGGGCATTCTTGTTTCAAGGATGACCTGTGTCCCTATGTCTCTGTCTCTGTGTGTTTGTGTGTTTAAATCTCCAGTCCCCTTTCCTTGCTTGAGGATTGTACAGTACCATAGCACATAGAGCAGACATTGTGCTTTACTGGCGTCCCTCTTTCTAAAATGTGGTGTGTGTGTGTGTGTGTGTGTGTGTCGGTGGCATGTATATAGTGTATGCATCTCTGATTCCCACAGAAGCCAGAAGAGGGCACTAGATGCCCTGAAGTGGAAATTAAGGATGGCTGTGAGCTGCCATGTGGATGCTGGGAATGAACCTGGGTCCCCAGCAAGAACAGCCAGTATGCTCTTGACTACTGAGTCATCTCTCCAGCTCACATATTTCCCTCCTGATGCTAGCTTGGCTGCATTTCACAAGCTTTGCTATGGTTGTGTTTCTACTTTCATTTGCTTCAATGTCGTTAAATCTTTTCTCCTAACTTTAATGGCTTAGTGTGCCTTCAAAGAGGCTGTTAAGAATATGACAGTAACCACTGCCCATGAGCCATCCCCTCCTGAAAAACCTGTATAGGGGAGTCCAAAACTCCTGACATGTCTAAGAACAAATTCAGAGTTTTAGTTTTTAAAAGAATAATGATCATGTAAGATTCAGATGAAGAAAATCTATCCCAACCAAGACCTTGGCAAGACAGTCTCCAAAGTGAATCTAACAGTGAGTTGGAAATCAAAATCCAAAAAGAGAAGAAAATTAATAAACAAACTGAAACTTTGAAAACCAGAAATGCTTAAAGTGAATGAGATGGTCTGTTATATAAAAACTACAAGAGATACTTCATTAACAGTCAGTGGTACAGGTTGAGGTGATCCATGGAGACAGGTGGCACCTGGAGACAGGCTATGGCATGAACGGCATGCAGGGCTCTTCTTCTGGCACTCAACCAGGTCCTGGCAGCAGCCCATCTAGGGTCTGTATCCCTAGCCCTGAGCCAGGTCTGATGGCAAGAGAATACACTGTTGGGTGCTGAGAGCTAAGCCTTGAGACTGTGGGAAATGCAATATGGCAGAGAATCTGAGTGGGCGCTGGGGGACTCCAAGGCCAGGGAGCAAGGACACCTGAGATGGAGCGGAGGGCAAAATCATCATGCACCTGGCCTCTTCAAAAGGCAGGCGGTGGAGCTAGTGACTAAGAGAGGCCAGCAGCAGCAAAACAGGACAGTCACCTCTCCCTTGTTCTCTCTCTGTATCTTGAGGGTCTTTGCCTTAGGCAGAAGGGAGGGGCCTACACCCAGGTGACAGAGAATTGACCACTTGCAATTAAAAAAAAAAACTGTACAAATGTAAAACAAAAAAAATCTGAGATCATGGTCAAAAAAAGTTAACAAAAAACTTTTTTAAAAAAGCATTGACAGCCAAGGACATTCTCTGTGCCCACTGCTGCTGCCCCCTCTTTTCTTTTCTGAACCAAGTTCTTCAGCATGATAACACTCAAGGTCTCTTCTACTGGCCAGCAGTTTCCCGTCTTAGCCCTTTCCTGTCCTGATACTGCTTATAAGAAGTTTTCAATTATACCAACCTGTAACTTTAAAAAATGTTAATTTTAAAATAAATGTCAAAAGATATATTATGTTTAAAAATGCTTTTGTTTCCATGGAGGGGGATCTATATGGGTTACAAATACTTATCACCTTTTATTAAGATGCATATTTCTGCTTTTGTTTTATGCAATGTTCTGCTAAATAAAATCACAAAAAAAGACTTTAATAAAAATTTACACATTGTCTAAAAAGGTTTTTAATAGAGGTTTTTAAAAGACCAAAAGATGTTTGCTATAATTTCTTGTACCTAACTGTTTAATGGTTAATTATGGTTTTAAAAAGTTTTATTTGTCTTGTTAAAGGGTCGTGGTTATTTTGCTAAAAAATTAGTCTTTGATAATTATAAGTTTCGTACTTGTAATTTTTCTCTGAGCTCTGGTCATTAGATTTGGGTTCACAAAAATTTAAATGTCTTTTTGATATAGATAAGTTAAAACTGTTTTATGCTGCTCTTTATTGATATACAAAAAAGTCAGTTACCACCGAAAATATCTGGAATTAGACTCCCAAAGGGGGGGGGGAACAGCTACAAAGAAAACCACCAATGCCAGGTAATAGTCACCAAAAATGTCAACTATAATAAAGTAGGTCATAAAACATATATGCTTATAAAATGTTTCATATTATTAATATTTAGATTTTAGCCTCATTGTCTTTGCTAAAATAATTAACAGAAACCAATCACCTTATGGGCCTGGTAAAGCCTGCTGTTCTGATACTGCTGCCTCCAACGCTATGGAGACCTGGGTATGACTCTCTATGGGCTGGTCTCTGTCATTTTTCTGTTTTGTCTGTACTTAAGTATAATTTATTTATCCTTCTAAGATCTCTGATTGTATTTAATGGCTAGGCCAGCTATAATATCAATTTAAGAGCAAAAAAGATATCCAGATCCTTACACAAAGCTACAGCCCGCTTGTTAGCTCATTATATATAAAGGTCTAAAGATATAAAAATTCGTAAACATTAAGGATTTAAAAAATAATTTAAAATAGTACTAATAAACAATAAAGCAATGACTACATACTGTTTGGGTTACAAGTTCAGGATTTTCTATGTTTTTGCTGGGACTCAAAGGTATAAGTCTATTTTTACTGTTTTATAAATATCTGCTATTTGCTATTTCTATAATATGGATTTTAAATTGCTATTTCTATAATATGGATTTTAATATGGGCCTAAAAGTTTCAAATATATTAACTTCTGTTCCTAGCTTAAATTTGTCTCAACAGGTTTCCCCTTGGTTGGTGGACACAAACAAACATGAATTGCTGACTGCAACCTGCTCCAAATGACCGTGGACCATGGACTTGCTAAAAATCTGATATGGACCAATGTAGCTGATATAAATGCTCCCTGGCTCTTCAACAAAGTCCACAAATCAAATGTTCCTAAGATTTTCTCTTTTTGACTAGCATTTCACCTTTGTTAACCCTTGACAACGACGCCCCAAAGTCAACTGGAAGCAGTTAAAAGAATACATCGTCCAATAACCCCTGTTTAAAATGCTAAGTCAAAAGAAACATAAAAAGACTCTAAGTTTAAGAGACAATTTGGCCAAAGTTAGTAAAACCAGCTCATAATTGAGCTGATTCTTAGGACCAAGAGGAGTGGGGAATGTGAGACCCTCACCCCTTATTCTCAAAGGGGCAAGAAGAAATTTTCTAGCAGAATGTTTTCCCAGGAAGATAGTGGCCTTCCCCTCTCCCACCCGGGATATTCTGAGCACAAGGTCACTTAGCTCAGCCCAACCAGCCACCTGGTACAGGCTGATAAAGATGGCCCAACTCAAGAACAGTGGCCTCTCTAAAAACAAGAAAAAAAGCTTACTTAACAAAATGTGAGGGAACAAAAGTCCTTGTTCCCATGCCAAAGCATCTTCAAAGATTCTCTTTGTAGTTATGCCTTTAAAAGCTTACCCCACAGGGGAGATACAACTCCTCTCTACCTTGTTGCAATGGGGACGGAGATGAGTTCCAAACATGTTTGTATTATGCTGATTAAACCTTGCTTATTACAGTCTGGGCCTCTCTGGTGGTCTCTCTCTGGGGGGTCGTGATCTGGGCACAATAGGTAGTGGCAGCAGAATCTATGTTGGTGGGGAATAGGTAGCAGAAACACTGGCATTCTTCCTTCCTCGAGACTACATGCCCAGTTGTGAGACTACTGGCAGAGCTAGGCAAGGTTCCTCTGGAAGGTCCTCTATGCCTATCAGTCCAGGCATGGGATTTTAGCTGGAATCAAGGGACTCATTCAAGACTCCTCAAATCACTGTAGACATGGCAGCAGGGCAACCTAGGTGTCCTCTCCATACCCTGCCGGTAGCAGGTCCCTGGGCTCAGCACAAGTTGAAGGAGAGGTGACAGGAACCATTTTACTGCCTGGCACAAGTCCATATACACCTGGCAACACCCTCTATCCTAGAAGGAGAACACCTGAATCTCCTAGACGAGGGGCAGTCTACCCCTTTTCCTCTGCCATAGTGCTCACCTCATATAGGGCAGGGTACCTACTACTCCCTGTCTCCTCTGTGGAGGACCTGGGTTCTGATCTGAGCCTCTTCAATCAGACACCTTGAATCATAAGTCACCAGGGAAAGGCACGAATAATTTTTATATATTGATTTTTGTTTAATTTTAATGAATGAGTTCATTGGCTCTAACATTTTGGAGATTTCTCTTTCTATCAAATGGTATCTTCAGTCATTCTGCTTACTTCTGTCCTATTGATGGTTCTAGTGAGGGCACCTAGGACTGTACTGAACTAAACGGTGGAGTGGATACCTTGACAACTTCTTCTCGGTCTTTGACAAAACATTTTCACCCCTTAACATGTGGCGTAAACTTTCAATGCACAGCCTTTGACATGCTGAGGTATATTCTATATATACTTAACTTTTGAGTCTTTTTTTTAAATCATGAAAGGATGTAGACTCTCTCCAATATTCTTCTGAATCTATAGAAATTATGACTCTTAGTCCTCATTTTGTTACTGTGGTGAATGTCATTATCAATTTTCGTAAGTTGAACCATCCTTGCCCTGCAGGGATAAATCCCACTTGCCTGTGATGCACGTGCTTTTAGGGTGCTGCTGAAGTCAGTTTAATGGCTGTCTTGGTGTTTCTATTGCTATAATACAACACCATGACCAAAAGCAACTGGGAGAGGAAAAGGGGTCAATTAGGATGTCACTGTCACATCACAGTGCATTATCAAAGGAAGTCAAGTCAGGAAGAGAATCAGGGCAGAACCTGGAGGCAGGAACCTGGAAGCAGGACAATGGAGGGACGCTGCTTGGCGTGTTCCTCGCAGCTTGTTCATTCTTCTTTTTCACACTGTCCAGGACGACCTGCCCAGGGCTGATGCTGCTCACAATGATCTGGGGGCCCTCGCATATTCGTCCATCAGGAAAAGGCCCAATCGACTTACCTACAGACAATCTGATTGAGGCGCTTTCTCAGCTGAGGTTCCCTCTTCCCACATGGCCCCAGCCTTTGTCAAGCTGACAGGAAAACTAGCCAGCACACCAGTGAAGTACTGTATCTGTATTCTTTAAGGATATTCGTATGTAACCCCCCCCATGCCCCATTTCCTTATCTAACTTGGATAACTGAAGAGCTATTGGCCTCATGAGGTACATTTCAGACTGCTATCTCCTCTTTGGTTTTTGAAATTTGAGAAATTCTGTTGCGAAGTCTTTAAGTGCTAGGTACAATTCAACCACAAGTCCATCGAGTCCCATTGCCTTTCCTCATTGGGAGGGTTGGTTGCCGCTGCTTCTCTGTGGTTGCCTTTGTTCTGTGGTTGTAGAGTCAAACAGTTGAAACAGAAACAAGGGTCAAGAAGCAAAATTATCTACACTCAGTCCTTTAAAATGTTTAGTGAGCGTTTCTGCTGGTCGCCACTTAAGTGTCCCTGTCTTGAAGAGGAGTCCCAGATTCTCTTGTCCACGCCGAGCTCAAGTATCAAAACAAAGGTAAAGCCTTGTGTCCTCCACCCTCAGCTAATGGAAACAGTAAGCGCTGTCCCTTGTCCACAAACCGAGCAGGGGACTGAGTTTAATGGATGAAGGCACTTTCTTGTCTGACAAAACAGGACTTGACTTCAGTCCCCAGAGCCCACATGAAAGGAGAGAACCAATCACTGCAGGGTGTCCTCTGACCGCCACATGGTTGCTGTCACCCACATGCACCCCCGCCCCGCAAACACATATCCAATTTTACAAAGTTCAAAAACTAGCTTGTTTTAGACCATTATCCCCAAATATAATTTTTATAATATAAAATAATCGAAAATTAAGTACCTATTTTCAGTGTAGATGCCTCAGGAGTTAAAAGCACAGAACTACCTCGTAGTTTTGTTTCAGAAAATGTTGGAAGAATGGTATCATTTTGCCTGGAGATGCCTTTCCATCTTGGTGTTAGCGTAACCTAAAATAGAATAGACTTGTTAAATGCTAATATTCAAACACTAAAAGTAACAAAAAAAAAACCTCTCAAGATATTTTCAATATCCTTTAAGAAGACTGAGTGTTATTTGCTGCATTAAACATCAAACACTAAAACCCTAACATCCCCACACTGGAAGAACACTGAAGTAAATTCTTAACTGATAATTTCAGCCTGGTGGTCCCAAAACTGTGGTCCAGACCAGATGACCAGCAACGGAGGAACTACACAGAAATACACATCTTCAACTCTTACCTACAAATTACTCACTCAGAAACTTGGGGCAGGGTCCAGTTCCTACCAAGTCCTGGTCACTCTGCTGACCTTATGTGGGGGTTGACAAGCTGCAGCTCACTGCCAGTTCTTAGAAATAAATGCCCAGTTGACCCATTTGTTTTCAGTCTAAGGTAGTTTTCTGACTAGAGAGGCAGAGATGGCAGCTGCCATGGCGAATCTACGGTTCAAAGAATCCAATACTTCTCTTCCACTTAACAGAAAATATTTTCTAGCTCTTGCCTCAAATTACTTCCTTGTAATTCAACACAGAGAATGGAAAATCAGCCGGACATCCTCAGTGAAAAACCAATATAGAATTCTTGCTCGTTTTACAATTTTAATATATTAGGTTCGAGTCTGTGGTGCTTCTTCGAGCTTAATTAAAATCAAAGTTGTATTTATTTGAATATCTTCTTTTGGCCCATTTATCACTAATAACTCCTTATTCTGGGCTGAACTACTCAACAAGAAGTTGAAGATGGTTGCCAATATCCAATTTTTTTCCTTCCATGAATTCATTGAACTTTGGATCAAAAATATTCAAGAAAATATGATTATACCAAATATATATAGGCCATTTTCTGATTATTTCTCTTTTAATAATTCAGCACAGCAGCTATGTGCATAGCATTCCATTGCATTGGGTATTTTAAGCCATCGAACGGTGATTTCAAGTCTACAGGAGGGACGCACAGGTCATATGTAAATGCCATACTGTTTTAGGGAGCATATGATCATCTGCAGATTTGGTATCCAAGCAGGGTACCAGAACCAATTGTCTCAGACACCAAGGGACAAGCACACTAGTTCTGACATAAAGCTTTAGCCTATTTCTTGCTGAAGAATAAAACAGCCAGAGCTGGGGCTAAAGTGCCAATGGCATCCATTCTATTTCTGCAAAAACAGGTAGAGTACCCTCAGAATCCCAGCAGCTTTTCCTTATTAAACTATGATGAACCAGTGACATACTCTGCAGTGTGTGTGTGTGTGTGTGTGTGTGTGTGTGTGTGTGTGTGTGTGTATGTATGATTTGCCAAGAAACAAAAATCAGCTGCTAAAGAAGAAGAAGTCATTTATCCACTTCCTTTTCAGGGCACGGGTGCCCATATTCCTAAGTCCTCTGATATAAAACAAGAATAAAGGAAGAGAAATGGGAAATTTTATACCTTTATGGATAAAATTTTATATGAACCTGAATGTATTTCAACTTTGTAAACTTCAGGTACAAATGCTGAAATCATCAAAGAAAATCTTTGAATGTGATTTTAAAATTATTATTTTTATATTTGAAAACTAAAGAAGAATCAACATGCTCATTTTGAAATGGAAATTCAAGAGCACACATTGGTGGGAATTCAGAAAAGCAAAGGTGTTTAAATAAAGACCAGTTAGCAGCATTCAGGATGGCCAAAATAGGCCTTAAATTTACCTGAGACTCTTACCAAATATTTAGACATCCATGATCTTTACGTTAGCAGACGACACATCAGGAGACCGCTGGTTTGTTAGTCTCATAGTCCTGAATAAAGATGTGGGCGGACCCATAAGGACCCAGGGCAGCCAATGAGTGCTCTTACCTGATCTTTCTCACGAGCTCTGTCACTGATGATGGGGGACAGCGGAAGGACTGAAAAATGAAAGTGAGCACACAACGGGCATGTTTCCTTATGAGACACACACACACACACACGCGTGCGCGCGCGTGCATGGGTACACTACGAGTTTCCGCTAATGGAGGCGATCTGGAGCCTTTTCTAGGCATCCAGCCTCATTCTGCTCCACCCCTGCCCTGGCCATCACCCTCCTGCTTTGGTTTCACTGAACCAATGACTCCACTTCTCGGCTCTTCAAGTCCTGTTCTTTCCCAAGAGTTAGCTCAAGACTCACCCACTTCTTACAGAAGGTGGTACCAGCTTATGCCAGATTCCTCTGACCTGATTGCCCTCCACTTTACCTCATATTTCAACTGTAGGCTGATCCCACGTTCGGGTTCATGAACAAATATTCTGACTTCGTGTGATACAGGGAATGATGTCCCCAAGACCACATGTTTTCCTGGTACCTTCCACCCCCCTCCATCACATACTGAAGCATGAATACCCATTGACTTAACCGAGAAGTGGCCCAAAAAGAACATAAGCAACCCAGCTTACTCCTTAGAGACCTGACTCTTGGCTTCCTTCTCTGGGAATACGTTCTTAGGGACTTCCGTTTGTAATTCTGGGTCCAAGATTGTTCGCTGGTACTTGAACTTGAATCTTCATTACTCTCAGAAAAGTGATGTTTCCTATAATTAAGCTTTTCCAAAACAGACAAATGAGAACACCAGAAGTGGGCACTAGTACCACGTGGCAAACAATTAAGCATGTCACCACCCACACCATCTATATACAATTAAACACGTCATTTCCCCCACCCCACCCCCACACTAAACACTATGGTTTGTCTTGGGAGAAACACCTCATGGTATGGGCCTAGGTTTTCTCCCAAAATAATAAGGTGCTGAAGCCAGGGGAGAAGAGAATGAACTCAATTCCCACAAGAGGGGCTGTAGCAAAGGACAATCAATTCTCTCTAGTCAAGTATTTGGAACTGAAAGAGATTGGTGGCTGTCCCAAAGCAGCTGCAAGACCACACTGCACCAACAGTACTACTTCAAGCACAGATTGACATTTTTAAGAGTGAGAACTTTCCTCCCAGGGGCTGGGCTGTAGCTCCATGGCCAAGTGCTTTCCTAGCATGTATAACCCTGAGTTTTACCCACAATGAGGCAAAGGGAGGCAGGGGGATGTCTTTTCTAAACAAACATTTTTTGTTTTGTTTTGTTTTGTTTTTACAAGAACTGAAAGCAAACAAGAATACCACTGTGAAGCATATTGAAGTTAAGCCTGGACTGTCGATGGTTAGAAACGTAAGAGCAGCTACCAGAGTTGTAGGGGGTGAACAAGAAATTGAACAAGCTGCTAGATGCAGACCCATCTGAAACGTGAATTAGCTCCACAGCTGTCACTAGCTTAGGACTGGACCAGTCTCAGCCCTGGCTGTACTACCATGACCATAACATGGAAGGTGGGCAATGGTGAACTTGAATTCATGTTTTACAAAACAAATTCATCCTTCAAAATGTTCATCAGTTCAGCATTTTGCAAAGAAGGCCATTTCTCACTTCTTTTTAAATTGACAAATATTGCATATATTTATTGCATATAAACGTTCTCATAGACCTATATATTATGAACAGTTAAATCAATCTAATGAGTACGTGTGTTACTTCCTCTGCATATTTTAATAGAGAAAACACCATCCCACTACTTTCATAGTAATTTTCACGTGTAAAACACTATTGGCTACAATCATCACATAGCCCATGCATCTTTTGAATCAACTGCCTAACTGAAATTTTCTGTCCACCCCACCCCTCCAATCTCCCAACTCCTCCTAGTAGCCACCATTTTCCTCTCTGCTGCTGTGTATTCAGTTATTTTAGGTTCACATGTAGTAGAATTCTTTTTGTGCCTGGCTTATTTCAACTGTCCTATCTTTTACCCATGTTCTTAAGCATGGCCCGATTGTCCACTTTGGAAACGCTGACCAGTCTCAACTGTGCATATAGATTATAGCTCCTCTTACCGGTGATCTCATTACAGACACCCTGATTACAGAGAAGGTAGGTCCTAAGAGGAACAGGCAGGCAGCCTTACTTACATCTTACTCTTCACTGAAGGAAAAAAAACAATTGAAAGACAATCCCCACACACACACACACTTCCAGCATTCATCAAGAACTCTTCAATCCAGTGGCTCACAAAGAACCAGCAACCCTTCACCCAAAGCATCTAATTTAAAAAATCACTGAGCAAGGTTGACCTAGTTTGGATTTTACAACAAAGGGTACTGGAAATTATTTGCCAAAACGTGGGAAATGTTTAAAAAAAAATGGCTCTTACGTTTGGTTACACACAAGAAAGCATTGGGGGTTGGCAATTGCTACATTTTGAATCCCAAACATTCTTCCAAGGGTTCCTGTGCTGGAGGTTTGCTCCCCTCTCTGGGCACTGTCAAGAAGGGTGCAGCCTATGAGAAGCAGGGTCTGGCTAAGGAGTAAATCAGTGCTGCCCTTTTGATAGATCACTTTGGCTTTTCACGTAAGTCACCAGAAAAATGCCCATTTCTGCCCAATGTGCCTGTTTGGGTCACAGCCAGAGAAAGAACCTATCACCTCTCATCTACCAAGGTGCAAGGGGCCTCTTCTGTGAAGGTTCGTGGACACATACTACTGAGAAAAACGCGGACTGAAGGGATTCGGTCCTAAGTCTTCCATAATCTAGTTACCAACAAAAAGGACTGAACATGAAATTTGCCCCTCTTCTAATTTTGCTGATTGATCTCATTCCTCTATCTAACTAGATGAGGCTGTTGCAGATTGGCCTTTCCACAGCTAATAGCTCATAAAGCCTATAGCATATGATGAACAACAGAAAAATAAGTAATACCAATAGATTTGTAGTGTTATTTCCTATTGTTATTTGTCTGGGAGTCTACCCACAATTAGAAATGACTGATTTTACGTTTGAAATCGCAGTCATCTCTTGTATAGTGAATATGAGGAAACGGTAGACAACACAGAGCTGCAGCTAGTTTGACGATGGCACACAAATGGCAGACATCCAAGACGTGCTCCCTTCAAACAATAGAAATTCCTACATTACCAGTATCCTCCTGTCTCGTTCTCTGTCCCTCTTGAAGGCAGAATCGTCCCTGAAATAAAGCATATCAAGTTAACAGGACAGACACCACCTCCTTCACCCTCCTCCCTGCAAAGGTTCAGCTTCTTCATCATGGGTGCACCCTGTGGGATGTCCTCAGTTCTGCAGACAAATGTACTTCCATAGATTCTCTGGAAGGGGATACTGCTATTCCACAGAAAAGGAACCTTTGTGGGGTCCTTCATCCCTCAGACATAGAGCAGAGGGGCGGGGCAGGATTTGCAAGTGGCCTGCCAGCACAGGTGCCACTCAAAAATGGGATCTCCCAAGGCTGGCTCCACGCCAGACCTGCTTTGGTGCTTTAAACAAAATCTAGCTTTGGAGTTTTGGTAATGCATGAGTTGGTCACTCATGTGTCTTCTGTGGAGAGATGTTGCCTGTTTCTCAATCACGCTTTTTTTTAATTTATTAAATTCCATAAGTTTCTTGTCTATGCGTAACAGTAAGTTAACCTCTCATCAGATATCCAGGCTATTAACATAAATTGTCGAGGGGTGACTGGGACTTGTGTGGACTGCTGGTGGCAGTGTCTTTGGAAATAACACAACGCAGCAGAAATAAAGACAGAGCTACACCATGAGTTTCCAGTCTCGCTTTTAGGTTTATAGCCAAAGGGATTGCGAAATCTGACATTGACATGCAAGTTGACTGTTCCAAATCAGAAAACTCCAAATGCCAACATCCAAAACATCCCGAGTTCAAATAAGGTGACACCTGTGGAAACCTCCATGGTTGCCATTGTGCGATGGGTCAGCGACCTGCAGGTCACTCAAACACCGTACAAAACCAACATCGTTCCGTGGCATCCGGCATGGAAAGGACAAATGAATTTTAGTCTCACTCCCAAGATATGTCACGGCATACACACAAACATTCCAAAGTCTAAGCCCCCAAAACTTCTTGTCCCAGGTATATAGATGGGGGATACTTATCTTTAACCAAAATATGTTCATCTAGTCACCCATTGTTGAGCATCTGAATGGTTTCTATTTGATGGTTGTCCTGAACAAAACTGCCATGACACATTGTCTTTGTGGACGTATGCTGACAGACATCCTGGCAAATACACAAGACTGAACAAACGGCCCAGAGGGTAGGTATATGTTCAACACGTTAAAACTCCCAGCAGGCTCGAGAGTCCTGCCCTCTGCACACTGTCATGAATATAGACAGCAGGTCTAAGATTAGCCATCCTGACGATGGGCAAGGTATCTCGCCGTCCTCTGACGCACATTCCCCTCGTAACCAGAGGCACTGAGTTGTTCTCGTGACCACCTGCCACCTCCGTGTTTTCCTTCGGGACATAACTTGTTTAAATCTTTTGCCAATGTGTTTTCATTGGTTTGGGTCTTTACCCCTGAAAATTTTAACTACAAGGCCAGATGCAAATGTTTACGCATATCTTCAACAAGGCTATGGCTGGTCTTTTCTAACAATGTTTTTCAATGATGGCGTGGGCTTGCTTCATCTTGTGAAGTCTAGTTTATCGGTTCATGTTGTTTTTTACTCTTTCTTTTTTTTTTTTTTTTTTTGGTCTTTGGGGGCCCACCACTCAGCTCCCAAATAAATTACACACATGGAGACTTTCTCTTACTTATAAATGCCTGACCTTAGCTTTACTTGTTGCTAGCCAGCTTTTCTTAACTTAAATTATCCTGACTACCTTTTGCCTCTGGGCTTTTTATTTTTCCTACTGCTATATATCTTTACTCTTACTCTGTGACGGACTGGGTAACTGGCCCTGGCATCCTCCTCCTCTTTCTACATTGTTCCTTCTCTTCTTCCAGATTTCTCCTATTTATCCTCTCTGCCTGCCAACCCCGCCTGTCCTTGTTCCTGCCGCACTATTGGCCATTCGGATCTTTATTAGGACCATCAGGTGTTTTAGACAGGCAAAGAATCACAGCTTCACAGAGTTCAACAAATGCCACATAAACAAAAATAACACATTTTTACATCATTAAACAAATGTTCCATTCCACAGCATAAACAAAAGTAACACACCTTAAAATAATATTCTACAACAAGTTCAGTTTTTACAGGCTATTTTTGGTTTGGTATCTTCAAGGCTGTCCAATGAAAAAGTCACATATTTGTTCCCAGTATGTTTTTGTTTGTTTTGTTTTTCTTATTGTTGTTTGGGGGTTTTTTTTGTATGTTGGTTTGATTTTTGGTTTTTTTGAAACGGATTCTTTGTGTAGTTTTTGGTGCCTGTCCTGGAACTTGCTCCATAAACCAGACTGGCCTCAGACTCACAGAAATCCGCCTTGCTCTACATCTCGAGTGTTGGGACTAACAATGTACACCACTGCCCAGGCCAAGTACATTTTATTTATAAGGCTATGACTCACATTTTAATTTTTCCACAGTGAAAAGATTGGGAGGTCATTTATTTTCTTGCATAAATATATTGTTGTTTTCACCTCTTTTATAGACAACTCTGTCTTTCTCCACTGAACAACCTCTGCATTTTCATTATATGCCAACAATTCATGTACTCGCAAACCCTTCCTTGGCCCCCTGCTATCTTATTTCCATATCTTTATGGCCACACCATCCTTTTACCATTGGTTAAGGAAGCTTCTAGTAGGTCTGAAGAGCAGACAGTGTGGAAGCCCTGTCACTTTGCTCCTTTGTGAAAACATGTTTCATTGCCCCAAGATTTTTAAGTTTCCACAAGGAATAGAGAAATGGCTCACTAATTTCTTTTTAAACCAGATGCTATTAAAACTGGAGGTTATATTAAATACTTAGACCAATTTGAGCAGAATTGACATCTTGCTAATAAAGTGTCCTTCTGTTGAGCACAGTATCTCTCTCTACCCACTTCGATCTTTCACTGTGCTCTGGAATAGTTCTTTTATGGCTGTGACCTAATAGCACCCTGCAAATTAATACCTAAGCATATCATATGCTGTTACACATGGTTCTGCTTTGTGTTTCAATCAGAAGCCTGAGTTTTGTACACTGACCTTGTGTCTAATCTAAAATTCAGCAGAAAGCACATTGCTCAAGGCAACTCTGAAGGTACGCTTGCAGGGGCCTGAAGGACAAGAGAGTTTGCCAACACAATCCAGATTGTTCTACAAAAATCATCACGTGGAGTTTAGATGGCACTGGTTAGGGGAAAGGGAAAACTCTAAACTGCCGGCATGTAGTACTCACATGAGCAATCATCTGTGTGGTCTGTAGTTGTACAAGAGCCAAAATGGAGAATCAGCCTAAATGTTCACCAAGATATGAACAGATAAGGAAAATATGGCACATATATATGCTGGAATACGTATCAGTCACCAAGAATAAAATCCTGAAATTCTCAACAGTGGTAACACTGAAGGACATTCTGCTAAGTGAAATAAACCAGCTGGGCAAAGACAAGAACTGCATGACATCACTGTCATGTGGGATCTGCACAGTCCAACCTATAGAGGGGGACATAAAATGGTGGTCACCAGGATCTAGGTGAGAGGGTGTCATGGGGTGCAATTGGTCCATAATTACATCTAGACGTGAGGAATGGTCCTGGTGTTGGCATCACATAGGGATAGCTACAGTTAGTAATACTTCTTCCATTTCAAAATAACAAGAGGCTTCTGACTGCTCTCACTACAGAGATGATGAATGTTTAAGGTGAATATGCCAAGAACTATTCATTGATCATTACACAAATGGTACTTGTATGGAAGAAACTCATTCTTTCTCCCATAAACATGAGCTGACACATGTATGGATGCATCATAACGTCTCCATATGCATGTCATTTACTACAGATACAGACAGGCTCGGAAGCATCAATGCGGATGGTTGCTATGACAATACAAAAACAAAATAAATGTGTTAAAAATGATAGTCACTTACTTCGCATCATCTAATTGAAAAGCCGGAGTTTGAACTGGTGACTCTAGCACATGTGAAGGATACTCGTGTTTTGAAGTAATTTCTAAGGACCAAAGGTTAAAAATAAAATGTCTTTAAGCATCTTGGGCAAACCTTCAAATAGATCACTCAGTGACAGTGGAGAAGACTCCCTGGTACCTTGGTTGGGGTCCTGTGGTTTGAGTTTTTCAGGTGAATGGTCTTCTGTGTGTGTCTGCGGCAAGAAAAAAGAAGTTACTATGGTGTCAGGGAAGCTCAAGTCTTCAACCTTTGGGACCCACTCCACCTCTGAAGTACAGCTGAGCACAGCTTGGCTGCCAGTGGCTCTGGTGTTCCTAAATGGTCACTTCCAAAGGACAAGCAAGGACTTGCCTCTATCAAAGATGACCACGGTATGTCACAGGTCTGGAGGAAGGACTACAGGGGTGTCTCCAGGAGCTTCACACTAGGGGCAAGGGTTCACCTTCCCAAGACACCTAAATGGCGACTTTAAGAGGTGACAATTTGCAAGGCGGTGGTGGCACATGCCTTTAATTCTAGCACTCGGGAGGCAGAGGCAGACTGAGTTCGAGGCCAGCTGGTCTACAGAGTGAGTTCCAGGACAGGCTCCAAAGCTACAGAGAAACCCTGACTTGAGAAACAAAATAAAAAACAAAACAAAATAAAAGTGACAATTTGAAAGACTAATAATCTCTCTAATCTCTGGCTGTTAAACATAAAAATCCTGGCATCATTCTCAGTCACACCTCCATACTATGTGTTCACATGAGGAAACAAGGAATAAATGCTTAAATAAGCCACAAGGGTGCTCTGTAATACTGTTTAATTTTTAAATTCGCACACGAAACTGGACACATATGATGTACCATGTAAAAATTTCCTCCTTGTCTTCATTGTGAAAAGTTTGACAAGTCAAGTTAAATGCGTGTATGGCCGCAGACATTTATTATTTCCCTACAGAGAAAACACCCCAAATCCTTTCTGCCAGCATCATCATTACCCAATCAGCCTACTGGGAAACGACACACCAACTCTTCTTGCCCCAGCCAATCTATAACTTAATGCCCATCTTTAAATCCTAAGAAGGCCGGACCTAAGAGCTAGATGTCACCTTCTGCGCTGGCTACTTTTATGTCAACTTGGCATAAGCTAGGGTCAGCTGAGAGGGAGGGACCCTCAACTGAGGTAATGCCTCCATAAGATCAGGCTACAGGCAAACCTGTGGGGCATTTTCTTAATTAGTGATTGATCAGGGAGGACCCAGCCCATTGAAGGTGGTGCCGTCCCTGGGCTGGGGGTCCTGAGTTCTATAAGAAAGCAGGCTGAGCAAGCTATGAGGAGCAAGCCAGTAAGCAGCACTCCTCCATGGCCTCTGCATCAGCTCCTGCCTCCAGGTTCCTGTCCTGTTTGAGTTCCTGCCCTGACTTCCTTTGATGACAAACAGTGCTATGGAAGTGCAAGCCAAATAAAATGCCTTTTCTCGAGTTGCTTTGGTCATGGTGTTTCATCACAGCAATAGAAACCCTAACTAGGACACCTTGATTGATGGATACCACGCCCCAGGAAGACCAGCATGAATCGACATGTCCATATGCCCCCAGTGAGAGAGGGAAATCACATCTGACCCTCAGCACGAGGCTCCTTCCCTCCATTAATTTGCGGACATTTTCCTCCAGATCCCAAATGAGGGGACAAGGCAGAGAGGCCTTTCAGGAAACAGCCGTGGTCAGTGAACAGGGAGACTACATCAGCTCGAGGGATGAAAGCAATATGACAAGGGAGACAGACAGATGAAGGGCAGGCAGCTACTGAAGAGAAAATGGGCTCTCATACAAGAAAGGAAGGGCTTCTCTACCCTGGGGGCCACAAATTCCCAACCTTTTCCCAGTTCCCTTTACTCACAGCAAGCTCTGACTGAGCATTTAACCTGCGAGTTATTATGCAATGGTCATCTTCATCATCCACGAACCCTGGCAGGGTGGTGGAGTCTTCTGCGTGCTCTATATTCAATAAGAAAAAGAACATTTAAACGATAACCTTCCATGGGCCAAGCTGCCACTCTGCCCTTGTCAGGCAAGCGTGGCTCTGGTATATTGCCACCTTGTGGTAAGAGCTGGTAGTGAAGTTGTGCCTCAAATCGCAAATCCAAAGCTAAAGCCCTTGAAATGGAAATTCAAGAGAAGAGGCTTTGGGCCAGTAGGCAGGGCCCTGCAGGGTCCCACCTCCCACCACCCCCAACATCCTTTCTTATTGGTCATTTCCAGCTGTGTCGCCAAAGAGGACTTTGGCAGATGGAGTAGGAGCTTCTAGGCTGTGCCCGGCTCTTCAGGTAACGCTGCCACGTGACCTCGGAGTGTGAGGACCTCTTCCAAGGCAGCCTCACGCTTCCTCAGGGAAAGAGTCAGAATTCTCTCAGCATACCTGCTTCCTGTTTGGGGCTACTAGGAATCTCACCATCTTCTTTTTCAAGGCCAGGGGAGACTTGTATCAAAACAGGAATCTGAAATGAAAGCCAAGGGCACATAACTTTTCAAAGCAGTAATCTTAGAAAAAAAAAAGGTTTTAAAGCTCAGTCCCCAGCCTGTTGATAAATTAAGGAGCCAAGTATCCACCATCTTCTTTTGTACATTGCTCTTTCTGGCTTACTGTCCACCACACCCACTCATCCCTCCCTCAACCACCGCCTTCTAGGACTAGCTCTGTCTCTCTGTTGCTCTGTTCTTAGTCACTCTCATGGTCATAACACATCAGTCATCTGCCACAGCTTGAATGCACTCTTCAAGTATTGGATGTCAGAAACCCTCTCCTTGGTGCAGTTCTGAGAGCGTGACCTTTAGGAGCCAGGGCTGGGCACATAGGCAGAGCTTCAAGACCGCTGCCACCTAGGCTGGAAGACCTCCCTCTGTTCTTCTGGCTCAAGTTGTCCTAAGTTCTGGGGTGACTTAATCCACGCTTCCCTCAGAAATATGGCTCTCTCTCAGTGAGAGTCTGCAGTGAGGACCCACATGGTCCTCCCAGCCTCCATTTCCTCACTGGGACTGCCTACTCCAGGAACTGCGACTCTGTCCCATGCAGACTCCGGTTCTCTACAGCAAAACCATCTTATTCACACTGGGAATGGGGAAATGTGTGTGGTTTTGATGGTCCTCTCAAGCAAAGGCAAACTTAGAACACCAGGCTCATTTGTGGTATAACAACACAGAGGAGGCTTTTTCCCAATTGGGTACTGTCTCCCACCTCACTGCCCTTCTGGAGAGCTTTGGAAACTATATCTGCAGAGTATTTTACCGCTATAATAAGATGCTCTAATAGGTAACTCGAAGCAAAAGGAAGCCCACATTTTGTTTTCCCGTCCTCTGGCCTTCCCATTCAGTCCCTTTCTGTCTGTTACTGTGTGTCCTTTGGTCACAAGTTTCTTTGCCCTGCCCACTTCCGAGATGGAAAAACACCCTTATGTGTGCGTAAGAAGTGGGGTCAATATGGAGACCACAGAATCCCAGCGCAGGTGCAGGCATTTCTATCAGAAAAGACCAGTACAGAGTGGGGGAAACCCCTGTTGAATTCCTCCAGGGCCAGGAGGAAGGGTCAAGCAGCCTGGCAGGTCTCCTCAGGACATGAGAACGCCTCAGACAAGCTGCACACTGTCCATGGGAGATGCAACCATGCATTTGAAAGAAGGAAGAACTCTTGTGTCCTACATATTTAAGACAGTGCCACAAGAAGAAGAGTTGGGATTAGAACCCAGAACTCTCAAGTCTTCTTCTTGGCCAAAGAATACACCTAAGCCCAACATGGAGACTGAAGAGATGTGAAAACACATTTGCAAATAATCAAAGGGAACGAGGCTGGGTATGGTAGCACTTAACCTTTATGGTAGCCTTTAACCCCAGGCACTTGGGAGGCAGAGAGGCAAGTAGATCTCCATGAGTTCAAGGCCAGCCTGATCTATGTGGTGAGTTCCAGGGTAGCTAGGGAAACATAGAAAAACTCTTTTTCAAAAAATCAAACACAGTGAATAAGAGAGAGAGAGAGAGAGAGAGAGAGAGAGAGAGAGAGAGCTGCCACCTGTTTGTCTCCTCCCAAAGCTCGAAGTGAAGCTTGTGATATGTCAAGTTGCCTGTCAAAGTGGATTTCAATTGTCTTTGCTTCTTTCTTGCTGATAATAATTGGCTCCTTCAGGAAAACGATGAGCATCTTCATCCTATCATTTTCTAACAACAACAAAAAGATGTGTTATTTCAGGTGCATCAGTATGATAAAAGCTATTGTCAACTGTCCAGAATTTTCTGCAGTGAGAAGATGAAGTCATATTAAGTAGAAATGACTTCAAAATGTTTATCTACATATACACAAAACATGTGACTTAGGGGCTGATTATTTGATCTTGTTTTATTAGTAAAGAAATAAATGTCATTTTGAGTAACACTATTCAATGTTTTTATGAGAGAATTTTTGTTATACAACAGGTATTTTAGTTTAAAAAATACTAATCAAAATTCTCTCCTCTCTCTCTCTCTGAAATCCCACATAATCTTAAAATTCAGTTTCCAATATGCCAATATCCATTTCAGTAGACACCTCTTAAAGAGAAGAAATGGAAGCACCCGCCCGTATGTCCAGGTCTCAGTCAACAGCCCCTTCCACGATCCAACCAGAAAATAAGCAGTCAATTTCAAAACTGAAAATAACTTAAACCTAAAATTCAGTCTTCAGGAAAAAAAAAAATGACAAGTCCAAACTAGGTAGAATTAGAGAACAGAAAGGTTACAAAAGGTCATAAAAGAGTAGGAAGGTCACAAAAGAACAGGAAGCTCATGAAAGAGTAGGCAAACCCAAGAGTTCCTGCCTACCAGAGTCAAAAGAAAGGAAAGATTTCAGCCTCCACCTGGGCTATCAAGATGGCAGCCACTTGAAACCATTAGCTCATACAAAGCACCATGACCTGCTAGTATAGCACCTACATCAGACTGTAAAGATTTAACACAGATAAGGACATACAATAGGGAAAAAACCGAAATACAATAACACAATCATTTTTATATTAATTACATGCTAATATCTTTCAAAGAGTCAGTTAAATTGCAAATTGAGACTAATCCACTCTCTGATTTAATAAGGTTAGTAGAAAATTTTAATCTCTCCCTGATGGTCTGGTGCATAGGATTTGGCACTCTGGTCTCCCCAGGCTGGGTTCAGTTCCCACATAAGGAAGCCTCTCTTCTGAGCCTGGAAAGATGGCTCAGAGGTGAAAAGCTCACTCTACTCTTCCAAAGGACCCAAGTTCAGTCCCTGATACCCACATCAGGTGACTTACAAACACCTCTAACCTCTAACTCCATCTCCAGAAGATCTGACCCCCTCGTCTGGCCTCTGTGGGCACCGGTACACATGCACGTGTTCCTGGATACAGACAGACACGAGCATATAAATAAACAAAGAAATCTTTAAAAAAATAAAGAACTAGAAAAGAAGACGCCAAATAAGAATGTGATCAAAATCCGCTCTAGGATTAACTAAATGCTGTAACATCAACAGAAGCGGTGCTGGAAGTTCTGGGGGAAGACGTTTACAGCATCATCTTACCCGTTATGCTGAACCTGAACACTGCTTCCTTCGGAAGGTGCACTGGCTCCCACAAAGCACTCTTGAGAAAAAGACAGAGTAAACGTCGTGACTGCACAGTAGTGTTTATACAAAGAATTCCTCACCGCTTAGGGCTCTCCTGGGGAATGAATGAGTCCCTTACCTCTCCGTTATCTATGTAAAAAGTCACGCTCCGGCTTCCTTGATTGAAATCAATCCAAAATTCCTCTAGTTTTTCATCTGCTGGTTTTCTCAACTGTGGGGAAATTTCAGCAGAAGTTACACAGGAATCTCACGTCAACGGGTGCAATCTAAATTACGAACATCCTGGAGCAGAACCACCGCAGTTCCTATTAACAGCACCCTCTGGGAATCAGAAAGTGGGTCTGTCTCACACTCCATTCCTGGGAAGATCTATTGTCCTCAATATTTCATAGATACTTAAGTGTGTCACATGGCTCTACCCACATTATTTTTTTTCTTGGTGAATTCATGGAGGTAGGGGGAACCTGTTTTGTGTTAAAACGGTAGTAAACCACATTGAAGAGAGATGGAAACTTCTAGCAAAACAGATACTATGAGCAAATCACTGACAAATTAGTGGCCAGCTTACCATCAGTTAGAGACCAGCTGACACTCGAGCTCAAACTACTTTTGTTTTATCATTATAAAATAAATACATAGAATAAAAATCGAGGATTCAAGCAACGTGGTGTTCTAGAAAGAGTAGATGTTTTCTCTGCCCGACTCCCCACAGGCTTCTGTCCAGAGACTCCACTAGCAATGTCTCTAATCCTCCCCCAGATGCTTTCTAGACAAATGCCAGGGAGTGCAGGGCGAGCACCGCTCCTCTGAAATACCTAGACCAGAGTGGTTCTGCTTTTGGAATGTTTGCATGTCCACAATGAGTTACCTTGGGGAGCGGACTTGTTCATACAGCAAACAAACTGGCACTCACCTCCTGGAGGGAATTTTACACACTAGCCTACGTATACTTGTGTTTTACCTGTGCCTTGCATGAAGACAGGTGTGGGGTAGTTTAAGTTTCTTCCCCATCGTATTGTATGTTTGCATGTGCATGAATCCATGCTGTGGCATGTATGTGGAGGTCAGAGGACAGCTTGCAGGAGCCAGTTTGCTCCGACCATGCATAATTCAAGGACTGAACTTGGGTCTTGGGCTTGACACAAGTTCCTTTATCCAATGAGCCATCACCATGGCCATTGGACTTTTCCCTTTGTGTGCATATGTGTTTATGTGGGTGGGGGTGGTGTAGATATGCATGTGTGTAGGTATACAAGTGTGTAGAAGCCAGATGACAACCTTGGGTGTTAAGCCTCAAGTACCATCCACTAAAATGAAACAAGGGACTGATACTCCCAGTCCCCGAGCTCTGAAATCCTCCCTCCTGGTGTAAACGCAAACCCCTTAAGCTTTCTGAAAAATGCATCCTGGTTATGACACGGTCAGATCAGTGTAAAGGTAAGACCACTAAGAGAAACTAGCATCCTCTTTTAAAAGCCCCTATATGCCCAGGACCTGAGGAATGACACCCAGAGTTATTCTGGCCTCTACATGTATTCACATGTACACATGAACATACATGCATATGTATGTTGAGCACACACACACACACACACACACACACACACACGTAAATTGCCCTTTAAAGTACTGGCAACAGGTCTGTCCTAACCATGAACACTTAATAGTGTTTTATTCACACTACCCTTAAGACTCTTTAGAGAAAGAGAAGAGGTAGACAGGTAGACAGACAGACAGACAGACAGGCCTACCTCCTGCTCATCAGCAAAAGCCGCCAAGCACGGGAATGAGTAGACCCTGCAAAACATCTTACAATTAAAACTCAAAACGACCTGCAGATGTCTTATACTAAGTTTTCACAACTGTGAAGTATCGTCTACACAGGACACAAGAGGGCTGCAACTCTGCAAGCAGAGATCCACTCTAGGGAGATTTCACCTCTCCAGCAGGCGTTTATAACACACGCACACCTTTAGTCCCAGCACTCGGGAGGCAGAGGCAGGCAGATCTCTGTGAGTTCGAGACCCGCCTGGTCTACAAGAGCTAGTTCCAGGACAGGCGCCAAAGCTACACTGAGAAACCCTGCCAGTGATATGCCTATCCTCAAACACCTTTAGTCTTTTCAAAATTATTCTTCAAGAAATCCAGGAACTCTTAGGATTGGAGAGATGGCTCAATGATTGACAGCACTTGCCGCTCTTACAGAGGACCTGGGTTCAGTTCCCAACACCCACACTGTGGCTCACAACTGTCTATAATTCCAACTCCAGGAGAGTTGATGCCCTCCAGGCACACACCTCCTAAACATACACAGAAGTTAAACACTCATGCACATAAAATAAATGAATTGAAATAAAACTAACAAGAAAACCCCACTCACTTTAGCCTCTTGTGTGCTTGGATTATATTATGAACCACTACACCAAGCTCTTCCTAAATTTCTAACCAATTAAGCACTTAATTCTATCAGTAAAATGCTATATTCTCTTAAAATTAAAAAGATCCCAGACATTATTTTTTTTAAAAAAAAATCTGTATCGGATTGCAGCTAGTCAATAAGATAATTTCAAGATACACGTTACCTTCTCTCATCACCAAGTCGGTTATTCAGGAAATTGAGAAACTGGCGACAGTCCTAAAGTAAGCAATACAAGTCTTTAATTCAAAAGCACACTATCTTCACTACTTTCCTAAGCAACCCTAAATCTTCACAACCCTAAAATCTTCACTTATGTTAGCAAGGCTTTGTCTGCAAGGAGACGGCTGTAGGCGCGCTTCCTTGCACCCCCAGCATTGCCTACTCAGATGAAGAATACCCAGGGCTCAAAAGTCAAGTACATGATAGATTCATTTGAGCAAAAAAATGAGCAAGAAAAATAGATCTCCCTGTTGAGTTAGAGTTCAGGATTTGACTAACCAATCTAGCACACGCTTTCCTAATACCTGCCTAGCATAAGCTATATAAACTATTAACTTTAGGTGAATTCATGTGTTCATATTTCCCGTGCCTCTCCTTTGTAGGTCATCTATGCCATATACTCTAAGAACAAGAACTACCTCTAGGATTCTCCTAAGCAACAATCACTGAATACATTGCCCTGATATTCTAAGGACAACGAGACACAGGTCCAGATTTATTCTCATTTTTGTTTCCAGAGACTGGCTGTTCTAGTGGACTGTTTCTCACCCTTCAGAGCTATATTTGGCCCTAAATAGACATGAGCAGAATAAAGCTTTCTTCTAAAATCCATTCCAAAGAGAAGCTGATGGGCTGGGAAGGAGTTAGAGAGATGATTTTGAAAACAAGGTTAATTACTTTATTTTCATCATCTTCAGAGGCAGATAAGGGAGCATCTGGTTGCCCACATCATCCCAGGCACTCTCAATTTCTCGGTGAATTCTGCTTGCACTGGCTAGTTTTATATTATGTTGATACAAGCTGAAGTCATCTTAGACAAGGGACCAATCTGTTGAGAAATTGCTTCCATAAGTCCCATCAAAATTTCAGTTTGTCTCCTGGCTAAGTTTCCTCTAAAGAAATCCTATATTTATCTTCCCACATGTCTGCCAAACATATTAGAGGCAAATCTGCAGGGTATTTTCTTATTAAGTGATTGATGTGGAAGGACCCAGGCCACTTTGGGTGATGCCACCCCCTGGGCTACTGGTACTAGGTGCTATGAAAAGGTTAACTGAGCAAGCCTTGAGGAGTAAGCCAGTAAGCAGCATCTTCCCATGGCCTCTGCATCAGCTTCTGCCTAGTTTGAGTTCCTGCCTTGGCTCCCCTCAATGGGCTGTGATTCAGGACATGTAAGACAAATAAACCCTTTCTTTCTTGTTCAAGTTGCTTTGCTGTTGGTCATAGCGTTTCATCGCAATAGTAACGCTAAGAAACTCCTAATTTTAAGGTGAAATTTATTCCCACTTCGCAGATGAAATTCTAAGACATCGCTAGTCCGTGACCTTGTCTATATCTATGCAAATATCACCTAAGTCAGGCAGATGGAACTCTAATTTGAGGTAGAATTAAAACTCAAGTTGGCCAAGAGAGACTGGAATCATGACTTTTACATTTAGAACATACTGCATCTGGCTAAATATTTTCCGTGCATATTGCCAGTCTTAGACTCTAAGATACACAATACAAAGGTTCAAATATAATACAATGTGAATCATGGAATAATCCTGATTGCACAAGGGTTTTGATTAGAAGGCTTCATTAAAATGAACACTTGAGATGAATTTTACTTTTTGCTGAGACTCTAACCCTAATTTAAAGATATTTTGCAGAGAATAAAGAAAATACTTTAGCAATTGTAGAAGACAGATACACAACAAAGTTAAAAGCTATGTTGTGTTCCTTTAGGAACAATCACAGTAAGCTAAGACTTCACAAGACAAACAAACACACACCAACCCCGCACAAATCTCTGTGCCTCCAAACTGCAGCGGCTGGATGGCACCCAGCATAACCACTCTATGATCCTTACCACAAACGCCGGTGCCAGCCACCTGCCGCGGTCAGAGCCTCTCTATTCAAGGCTCCAATTCTTTGCTCTTTCTTCTCCAATTGTATCCCTACTCTGCAAGGGCCATTTAAGATCTCCACCTGCTCCTAAATGTTTTCCTTTCCTGGACTCATCAAATACAGTTTGTTTCTTTGTTTCCTTGACCTGTTTCCTCTAAGGAAGTGCATCTTCTCATGTGGTCCCCAAGTATTTGTTTATGCCACCTTCAAATTGTTTCTCTGATATGGGGGAACAGAAAGTTAAGGATTGCAATCTGGCCATACTTTAAACAGTGAGGGACTGGGAAGGTGACTCTGTGGTTAAGAACTTGCATTGCTTTTGCAGATCATGCTATTGTGGTCCCCAGTGCGTCCAGCAGGTGGCTCACAACTGCCTGTAACTTTAGATATCGGTGGTTCAGCACCATCTTCTGGCTTCCAACAGCGCTTGCCCTCACACACATTCTTCTTCACACATAAATGCACACAATGAATTTCTTTTCATCCTTAGGAAAATTAAATCTTCCCCTAAGCATAAAACTCAGAAAAGTTATGAAAGGATCCTCACTACATACAGAGACTTTTATGACCAGAATTCTCACCGTCTCAAATTCCCGGTTCTTAATTTCTTTGAAAGCTTCAGCCAGGACTGCATCATCAAACCACTGAAGAGCAAGCTCATTCCTCAGTGTTCCGACGGTCATTCTACACAATGCCTCGGATAGAGCAACCTGCTGATTATAATCTAGAGAGTCAAAACACAGTAGACATAGGTAAATTCTGGGTACAAAGTGACAGAAAATAAGTCACTTAGTCTAAAGCTAAGGCACTCAGTGAAGTGCAACGAAATGCATTCAGAGTCATTATGACCATCCAAAGTATACTCAAGGATGGCTAGGGGGGAATATGAATAGGTTTCATATGGAGAACATCTTTAAAATACCATTTCTAAGCACTAGGAATACTGTTCAGTGGTAGAATGGTTGCTTGTATAGTATGTACAAGGTGCTGAGCTCAATCCCTAATAATGTGAATATATATATATATATATATATAGGTTTTACATTTGTTAAATATGAAGTTAGATCAAATAGCCTTAAATTAGTTCTATAGCAAAAACAATCTTATTAAAGTTACAGTATTCTACTGCAGTTAGACTACATACTCAAATGTCAAATAATTCTTTTTTTTTTAAGGTCCTACTGTAGCTCAGGATGAACTCAAATTCACTATGCAGTCAAGGATAACCATGAACTCCTGATTGTCCCCGCCCCCGCACCTCCCAGACACTGTGAGTGCAGACATGCCACCACACTGGCTGATGGGGAGTTAGGGCTCAAACCCAGAGCTTTGTGCACGTAGGCAAGCACTCTAGCAGCTAAGCTGCATCCATAGCCCAATCCGCAAATCAAATAAAGGTGAAAAGAGGGGTGTAATCAGATGAACTGATGTGGTGGCAGTCACATACTGTCTTTAAATCTATAAAACAATCGTGCAACTCTTATGCAGATAAAAATTATGTTTGAGAATGGAAGAAAACCTCTGAGTCAAAGGAAGAGGGGACATGGGCATGGAGGGATTTCCTTGTGATTCTGATGGCTTTTACTTTAAAGAATCTTCACTGACGCCCATGTAGTGAGATGTTGAAATGTGACAGAACTGGCCAGGAGGTGTCCATTAGTTATTATGATTTCCCAGCAGGCCAGAATCTCTCAGAAGTAAAAGCAAAATCTTAATTTTTTTATCTGCAAATGGAATTTAATCCTCATACATCTTCCAGTGTTCAATATTCTAGGCATTTAAATTTTTAAACACTTCTTACCTCCCACGGTCAAGATTGTCCTTGCCAATTCTTTCCTGAAACATTTACATAAACTACATTTTACTGAGATGAACATCAAGAGGTAAAGCCTTACCTAAACTAAAACCAAGATATATATTTTTGAAATCAGTATCAGAATTTCCACAATGTGCATATAAATACCTTTTAATGGGAATTTTCTTCAAGTTCATATATTGAGGACCAATATGCACTTTTAAAATTTTTTTAAATAATTATTTTTATTTTATTTTATATGTATTGATTCCCTGTATGCGTGTCTATGTGATGGTGTTGGGTGCCATTGAATTGGAGTTACAGACAGTTGTGAGTCACCATGTGGGTGGTGGGAACTGAACCCGCGTCCTCTGGAAGAAGAGCCAGCACTCTAACCACTGAGCCTTTTCTCCAACCCCCTGATATACATTTTCAAAAAAACTAGAAGTTACCATATTTTTGAGATTTCATTTTTTCTTTCATGAAGTAAATTTAGCTTCCTAAGATCTGAGGGTACACTGAATAATCTGCTTCTAAAATTTGAGGTTTCTTAGAGTTTTTTGGAATTGGGGTAGGAAGGTTTTTCCCCCCGCAATGGGGGGTCTAACCTTGAACTCAGAGCAATCCCCCTGCCTCAGCCTCTACAGGCATGAGCCACTTCTAGTTGTTCCCTTTCACCAATCAGCAGCCCGTGGGATTACTCATCATACATACAGCTTGAACCTGATGGGGCTTAGACATTTGGTCCTGTGCCTCTCCTATGACGAAATTGACGCAATACTCAACTGAATTTTGAAACATAATGAAAGTAAGCAAATACATTTTACATTGCTGTTACACTGTAATCTCAGATTCTCCTCCAGTGTGCTAGGGTGTATCCATCCACTCTAGTGTGTCCACCAAACACTAAAACACACTATTTTCCTTAGTATCTGACACTCTTTGTGTATGGCTGGAGCGGGGCCGGGTGGCAGTGAGGCTCAGCCTAAGGCTTTGTACACGCTAAGTAGGTGCATCATTCAGCTGCATCCACAGCCCTTGGTGCTTTGAGACCATTTCACTGTTTAAGCCCAAGCCAGCCTTACCCTGATGATCCTGTCTCCGTCTCCTGAGTGACTGGGACATCAGGGGTACACCACACCACCACAGTTGGAAAAATCTCTCACTTTAAAGAATAAAGATGTCTTGTGGGGTTGGGAGAAAGCTTAGGCAGTGAAGAGCACACTTCACAAGCATAGGGCCCCGAGTTCTAGCTATAGAAGCCACATTAAAAATAAACAGACATCCATGTTTCTCCTCTAAGGTCTAGCCTGGTAAGTTGCCCTCACCACCCCACAGTTTTCCTGAAACTCGCCATATCTAGCTAGGGTCCCACAGTTAGTGATGCAGCCTAGTCTGGCCATCTTTTTCAAGTTTGAACAGCGTCCAACTCTAGCTTTCTACGGGGCCCGACACTCCCAGCCTTGCATAGTCCCACCGCCTCTAACGTGCAGCCGACTCTGAGCTCCTACTAGGACCTGCCTTACCTGCATCCACCCATGCAGGGCCCTTTGCACTGTCTCTACCACCCTACTCTCTACTCAAATGTCCCATGTCCTCCTTCAGGTGCTGGCCTGGTGAGTACCCCTGGCTTCCTTATCCATGCCTTTTCCACCATATACCAGAATTAGCCTGGGTCCCACAACCCACTAGCCTAGGGACCTTGCCTGCCTGCCTGCCTGCCTTACAAAAGAGCTACAGACTTGGGCCAGTAGCCTAGCTATGAATCCATCGAACCACAGAGCTCTCCAATGTCATATGTAACTTTTCCACTCATACATGTACCCCATTCCTGTCTGGGCTTGGAACAGGAAGCCCAGCCTGTATACCAGCCCAGTTCCCTCTGCCCACCTGACCTCATCCCACACATGACACCTCCACCCTCAACCCCACATCTTCTCCTCCAATCAGCCCCATCCATAATAAGCTCAGAACTAGCAAAGAAATGGCACATGCCCAGATCTCATCACTGGAATACCAGCGACATGAAAGATCAAACCAGCATCTTCTCTCCAGAGCCCACCAGTCCTACAGAAATGTTTGCAAGGAGAACTGCCTAGATGAAATCCAGGTCAGGAGTTTAAAGACACAAAGAAACAGCTCCATAAAATCCAAGAGGAAGAACTTAAGAATGAGAGATGCCTGAGTGAGACCCAAGAAAACACAAATATAAGGCTGATGGAAGTGAGCAAGACAACCCACGACTTGAGATAGCATTCAGTCAGGAGATGGAAGTACTGAAGTGGACTCCAGCTGAAATGAAGATAGAACTGGAAAAAAAAAAAAAGAGCCCACCTAGAAAACCCAACGGGAAACCTTGCAACTAGAGTGAACTAGAGTGACCTGAGCAGAAGACAGAATATTGGATCTCAAAGGTAAAATAGAGGAGCCAGATGAAATAAACAAGGGAATGAGTTTTTAACACAGAAAAGGAACACACAGGAAATGTGGAGCACTATGAAAAAACAGACTTTCTTCTCCCTCATCTATGCCTATAATTTGAATCAATGGCACAGACTGGCTCTTCAACAGGATCATAGCAGAAAACTTCCCTAAACTAAACTTCCCTAAAGACCCCATGCTGATAGAAGACAGCACACAGCACACCAAATAGACAAGGCCAGAGAAGAAAATCCTCACAGCATATCCCAGGAAAAACACCAAGTTTACACAACAAAGAAAGTGTATTGAAAGCTGCAAGAAAGAAACACAAGTCACACGGAGAAGGAAACCCATTAGAATAACAGCTGGTTTCCGATGTAGACTGAGATCCAAAAGAGCGATGCAGTCCAAGTCCTAAATGATGACGGCAGCTGGTCCCAAATCACACACACCCAGCAAAACTATCTACCGTGATTGAAGGAGAAAGAAAAAGGAAAAGAAAATGACATGGACAGCTTTAAAAAATTCATGCCCAGCAAACCAAACCTAAGGCAAATACCAGAAACATTATTTCAGGTTGAAGAGAGGAAAGAGCATAGCAAAAGATCATGGGGAAAAAAAAAATACAAAGCCATCCTTACTAAAAGATAAAATACCACTGAGAACACAAGCAACATGAGAAAGCACAGCTATCATACACTTTTCTGTGATAACTTTATATATCAGTGGCTTCAATTCACCAATCAAAAGACAGACTGGCTGAGTAGCTCAAGAAACAAAATCCACTTCTCTGCTGCCTACAATAGACACATCTTAGTTTTAAAGCTAGACACCACATTAGAGTAAACAGACGGACCAGAGCACTCTAATCAAATAGACCCAGGAAGCAAGCAGGCATTGCTATCCTAACATCTGACAAAACGGACTTCAAACTAAAACTAATCAGAAGAGATAAAGAAGGCACATTTTATTCTAACCAAGAGGACAGTAAACAAGCAGGCATTTCTATCTGAAACATATATGCATCAAACTCAGAGGCACCCAATTTCACTATAAAATCTACTACTGAAAGTCAAGACATGGATTAGTATCAATGAATTAGTGAGTTAATTAATGAATAGTAGGAGACCCAATAGATGGGTCATTTGAAAACTAGAAAAAACTTTAGAATTAATTGACACTACATATCAAATGGATTTAATAGTTATCTCAGTTATCTGTGGAATATTCTATCCAAACAATACACACACATTCTACTCAGCATAACACAGACACTTTCCTAAAATAGATCACATCCTGGAACACAAACAAATCTTTTTTATTTACTTATTTATTTTTTGAGACAGGATTTCTCTGTAGCTTTAGAAGCTGTCCTGGAACTCGCTCTGTAGGCCAGGCTGCCTCGAACTCACAGCGATCCACCTGCCTCTGCCTCCCGAGTGCTAGGATTAAAGGCCTGCACCACCACCGCCTGGCTCAAAACAAATCTTTACAAATTCAAAACAATTGAAACCACTCTCTATGTCCTGTCTCAACACAATACAATAAAAATTTAAATTGATAGCAAAAAAATGCTAGCAAATACACAAACTTATGGAGATCTGTCAACTTATTACTAAACAATGAATGGGTGAAACAAAAAATCAAGGAGGAAATAGCTTCCTGGAACTAAATGAAAACACAACACATCGAAACCTCTGGAACACCTTGAAAGCTGTCCTATGAGGAAACATCATATCTCTAAGTGCCTACATTAAAATATCAGAGAAAACACAAATAAATGACTTAATTAATCAACTTGAAAATGGGGGGGGAGAACAAACTAAATCTAAACTCAGTCTACAGTAATAATAAAGATCAGAGCAGAAATTAATAAAATAGAAACAAAGAAAATAATACAAAAATGATCAACAAATCTAAGAGCTGGTAATTGGAGAAGATGAACAAGATTGACAGACCCTTGGTCCAACTACCAAAAGAGAACTCGATTAACAGAATCAGAAATGAACAGAGAAACATTACAGCAGACAGCAAAGAAATTTATAATATTGTAGGGGAATATTTTAAAAATTTACTTTGTTAAGCTGAAAAAACTTAAAAGAAACAACTGTTTTTCTAGATTCAGCTAAACCATCAATATTAAACCAAGAAAAAAATCAATAATCTAAACAGATCTATAACTATGAGAAGTATAAAACAGCAATAAAAAGCCTTCCAGAAAAAAAAAGGTCCAGAGCTACATGGATTCAGAGCAGAATTCTAAAAATATTTAAAGAAGATCTATAGCCAGTCCTTTTTAACTATTTAAGACAATTGAAACAGAAGAAGAACATACAGACTCCTTCTACAAAGTCAGTATCTCTCTAATACCAAAATAAAGTAGACACACACAAGGAAAACTGTAGGCCAACATCCCTGATGAACAGAGATTCAAAAATAACCAATAAAATACTTGCAAGGAGGATACAGACAGATATCAAAAAGAGTATATACACCGTGAACAGTTACATAACCAGCTGAGAAGGCATTTTGGCCCACAGATTCATTGCCAAAGGCAAAACAACAAACAAAAAAGAAAACCTGCACATTTAAGAACAGAATCGGGCACAGTCTATCCCTGGGTCTTCAGTCCCTTCCAGCCCAATAATGGGTGAGCTCGCAAGGCACGCGCTGAAGGAAGGAATGGCATAGGTGGGCGTGCGGAGGATAAAGAACAGTACAGAGATTTGGGGCTTACACCACCACCTGAGTGTGAGGTCACTTACATAAGACTGCACGTGTCTTCTGCTGAAGAGAGCTTTCTTCTCTCTTCCCGGGGTGCAGCGTCCAAAATGCAGTTCAGAGTACTCAGGGCCTGTTCAGAATCGGAAGGGACGATTCATGCACCACAAAGGAACAAAATGAAAAGTCGCCGGTGCCTGCTCTGAGTTTCCCAGGGCAACTGTGAACTCTCCGTTTAGTGACGACTCACCTCCTGATGAATGGAGAGCTCCATGGTGCCGTCTGCCACCAGCCGTCCTAAACTAAGTACGAAGGAATCCAACATCTGGATTGTTCCTGAAAGCGCAATTGTGAAAGCATCAAATGGACGCTGGAAGGAGTCGGAGCCGACTCCTATGCAGCAGGAATGAGTACAAGCTGGGAGCAGTATCCAGTGTGGGAATGACAGTCTAGGCAAGGGGCAGGTTACAGCCAGGCAGTTACAGTCACAGTACAGTCAGCTACAGTCACAGTAACCCCCAGGTTACAAGACTTGTTTATACAATACCCACAAAGGACTGTAACAGCAGCCCGAGCAAAGTGTGGGTAGCATCACCGTCAGGACTGTAACCTGAACTAAGCCACTTTCTGTCCACGATGGGCAATGCTCTAAGTACCGGCATGTGGGTTGTGCTGTTTACGTGGTTTATATGAATTTGTATTATATTATAGTTCAAATATTAGACATACTATACAGATTAAAATGCCATACGGTCTATAACTCTGAAGCAGAAACTTTTAAATAAGTTGGTCTTCATTAATAAACCATAGAAATTTCCACAGCTATTTATATATCAGAAAAAAACAGAATGAGAAATACTATTTTATATATAACTAAATGAGCAACTTTTGCAGTTTTGGACTCACATTAAGGTAATAAGTGGAAATAATAGTGAACACAACAAAAAATTAATGCCAAGTCAGAGTATAATTTTGGTAGGTTCAGTTGTATCATCTCAATGTGTAAGTTATTTATCACAAAGAATATACCATTTACTCCAGTATAATTCATAAATTGTAGGAGACCAAACAGGGAAGTATAAGAGTGCCGTCTTCAGTTCAAACAGGCCACACTAGCATGAGTAGATAAACTGAGACAAGCAGAAACTCAGTCAGGCCTTGTGCCCACCAGATTAGAGTCAAAGGTTCTAACAAAGCCCAACTGGCCAGCAACAATCTGTACATGTCTGTACATATCTTACTAACTAGCAAAAATGCCAAGCATAGTGTTTTCATTTTGAGAGGAGCTAGAGAAAATGTATCACAACCTTAATATTAGGGCAGGAAAGCTGGCAGATCAGAGCAGCAGCAGCCAGCTACTAGAGTTCTTAAATAGGCAAGATCCTGGCTCTACGAATCCTCAAACTGAATGTAATGCACTCCTGTCTCCTCCCGCCTTATATTCCTCTCTTCACCCAGTCATCTCTCTTCCTGTCTCCACCTCCTTCGTGCTGGGATTAGAGATATGCGACTTCCAAATACTGGGATTAAAGGTGTGAGCCACCACTGCCTGGTTCCCCGCATCCACGGCAGTTTGGTGTTGCTCAAACCACCTATAATTCTAGCTTCAGGGAAATCTGTCACCTTTGGCTTCTGTAGGAACCCACACTTACATAGAGATATATTCATTCATTCATTCTCCCTCTCTCTCTCTCCCTCTCTCTCTCCCTCTCTCTCCCTCTCTCTCTCTCCCTCTCTCTCTCTCTCTCTCTCTCTCTCTCTCTCTCTCTCTCACACACACACACACACACACACACACACAGAATTTAAGTTTTCAAAAATAGCGAAGCTAGGCTTGGCGGCATAGCCCTAAATTCCCAGTTCCTCAGAGAGATGAGACGAGAAGATACAAGTCTGAGGCTGGCCTGAGAGACAGTTCCAGGTCAAGGTCAGCCCAGTAGTGGGTCTCAGTGGCAGGGCTTTTGCCTAGCCTGCGTGAAGAGGATGGCTATGAGTTTACTCCCCATTGCCATGAAAATAATTTCAAATTTTGAGAATGGAGAGTTCTTGAAATAAAAGGTTTGGGGAGAAAAAAAAATCTTAACTCCTGTAAATAATATTGTTGTATCAAGCAAAAAGGACAGTCATTTTACAAAGACAGATGATATGGGCCTAACACTGAAGGGAAGACAGGATAAAACACATGGATGTGAGCATGAACACGTACTAAAGGAGCAGAGGTGGGGAGGCATCATGCTGATGTGGATTAAGGAAACCACAGGGATAACTCTAGACTGACAGCACGCCCATCACCAGAGAAGAACTAAGTGTTCAAATACAACCAACCCCTGCAGCAATGCTCAAAGGAACCCCCAAAATGGAACATGCACGATAAAATGATACAAATACTAGTCGAATAAAAGAGAGATTAATCCCACAGAGGCAGGAGATAGTGGGGATGTGGCCAGTAGACACATCTTTTGCCTCAGATGGTGGGAATTAGACACCCACTCTGCAGAATCTGACAGGGCACTGCCAAAGATAACATGCGAGAACTTGCCTCTTACAGGAAAGCTAGACCCTCACCCACCCGAGTGGCCAGAGTGAGCCCCAAGCAGTGAGCAGTTGTTGCTATGAACTGTCATTGTCTCCTCTCCAATTTTCACATCGAAGCATTCCCCGCAGTGTGATATCTGAGAGAGAGCCTTTGGGAAACCCCCACCACATACTCAAAACTACCACCATGTTCTACCTGAGTTTATACACCAGGCAACCCTAAAACCATGAGCCTAAATAAATGTTGTGTTTTGGGGTGTAGCATGGCAGCATAGCCTGTAACTTCTGGGGAGGAACCTATGGTGGATGGAGTCACAGTGGCAGAGACACAGCCAGTGTGGAAGGAGTCACGTGGGAAGCAGAGAGGACGAAAGCAAAAGGCAACAGGTCAACTCTTTCTAATAAGTAATTACAACTCAGTGATTAGTTTCCATTCTCATGCGTTCTAGTCCAGCCCCACACCTAAAAACCCTTCTCAGAGCTCTGCCACAGTGATCTACTTCTCATTAGGCTCGACAGGACCAGGTCTCTAGCATGTGAACCTAGGCAGAAACCAGATCCAAACCAGAGCTAAACCCTTGCTGCTTTGGAGACAGCGCGGCCTTCCATCAGCTGAATAGAGGAAAGTCACACAGCAGTGACAAGAGCCACTAAGCAAAATACATCGCAGAAAACTGAGACACGCTTCACAACAGAACACTGTCCAGCATCGCAGTAGGACTATGTCAAGAGGTTGGTCAACCCAGATGTGTCTCAATTTCACCCTTGCTGTCACTTAAGCCATCAGTGCCAAAGTATTTATTGATGAAAACCAGCCAACTAGTAACTGCTCATATACGTACCTTTCCTGCTGTGCCTGGAAATGATCTGATAAAAGGAAGGAAAAGTACAGCTCGTTATTCCAAAGCATCACACATTCCAGCACGAAGGCATGGCTACTAACTGATGGAAACTGAACACAGAGACACAAGGAAAACATCTGCTAGAAGGCTGAATTAGTTACCTCATTAGAATGAACATATTCCCTATACTCAAACAAACAACATATTTGAATATATAAATGACTACTCAGTTTCCTATGTCATTGGTTGAATATTTTAATGTCTGTTACTCTTTCACACAATGACTTAGTCATAAATGCGGCAGGTTTTTTTTTAATCCACATCTTATAAAAAGCCAACTTCACATCTTATAAAAAGCCAACTTCTCAAAAGATTTCTTTTTTAAATCCAAACTTAAGACAGAAGGAAGTTTTACAATCACTTCGATTCCCGCCCCCACTGTTGGCATCACCCCTCGAAGTGCTTCTATCCTTACCAGTGCAGTGTCGAAGAAGTCTCCCAACACCTTTGTCAGCAGTGCATCTGAGGCGGTGTCTTTTGTCATCAGAAATCCTGTTACCTTTTCAAACCAGGAAACCATGTGCACAGAAGAGAGGCTGATGGAACCACATGGTCCAAGTGAGTACCACCTACTCCACAAGATTTACAAGATAATCTCCTGCTAGAGAAAAAGTGGTGTAAGAGGTTCTTCTATCTATCTGTTGCCTTCATTGGTTAATTAATAAAGAAACTGCTTGGCCTGATAGGTCAGAACATAGGTAGGCGGGGTAGACAGAACTGAATTCTGGGAGGAAGAAAGCAAGGTCAGAGAGAGTTGCCCGCCATGAAGCTGCCAGGTCAGACATGCTGAATCTTTCCCGGTAAGCCACGAGCTCGTGGTGACATACAGATTATTAGAAATGGGTTGAATCAAGATGTAAGAGTTAGCCAATAAGAGGCTAGAGCTAATGGGCTAGGCAGTGTTTAAATGAATACAATTTCTGTGTGGTTATTTTGGGGGTTAAGCTAGCCGCATGGCCTGGAGCCAGGTAGGACGCAGCCCACCACTCCTTTTACTCCAAAAAAGCAGCCTGAAAACCTTTTCTCTCACATAAGACAGGCTTCCTATCCACCAAGAGCAAGTCAGAGAGGATGCATATGGTCCAGAATTACCATAAGGAAGGTCACACACAGCAGTAAGAATGGGACAGTTGACCAGGATTGGAGCCAAGACACCCACAAAAGAGGCTGCAAAGAGCTTAAGGTGAGGTGAGCCTGTGCAGAGCAGGGAAAATAGCGTGGCTTTGAGAAGTAAGCTATAGAAAGCAAACAATCAAAAAAGATGAGCTGGGTGTGGTGGAGCACGCTCATAAGCCCAGGACTTGGGAAGATGAGGCAGGAAGACTTCTGTGAGTTCAAGACCAGCCTAAAAAAATCCTCTCAAAAAAAATCAAATTAAGTAAGAAGAGGAACTGTCTGGACATTGCAGCAGAAGCTATAGAAAATATATGCATGGCTATAGAAAATATATCTCAGGCCTTGTTATCTTTCTTCTTCCAAGAGCTTTTGGCTCATTGGATTATTTTTCCCATGGGAATATAAATCCAATTTCATGCTATGCTTCTGTGCTTAGTTGTTGGAAATAACTTTTGTGACATCTTGAAATATATGTACTTAGTAAAGTGTGGGTCATCTTTGGACTATTTTTGCTGAGACTGGTCACCCATAAACATAAAAAACCAGATCTGGATATGTAGCTGAGGGGCGGAGCACCTGTCTAGAATGCAAAGTCCTGGGTTCAATCTCTAGTAAAACACACACACACACACACACACAGAAGGGGTAAGAAAACACATGCATAAATAATCAGCTGAACATAGCATTAGTGACATAAACCGTTGAAGGACAACTCTTGAATACAGTTGGAAAGGGGGTGGTACTGTACAGTTGATCAATACTTAAGAATAAAAAGTATTCTGTATCCCCTTTTTGTGCCCAATAGTATATCATTGACCAGACAATAACAATGGCGTAGGGATACAGTGCCGAGTTCCCCTGGATCTTAGGGACAGAACTACATATAAGCTTTCTGCAGGGAATTCTTACTCTCTGTAGAATTAATTCCTAAGTATACTGTGTGCTGAGCCTACAATTAGTTTTACAGTATAGAGTCAAGCATCCCTTTCTCCTTGAAAATGTCTGTCTGCTCTAGTTGGTCAAAACACACATGAAGTAATGTACCCTTCATAAGGCGCCGGATAATTGTAACAATCTCATCACCAAGGAGAGTTTGGATAGAACATGAACACTTCCATTTCAAAATCCAGTAGGGATTTGATGTGACCCCATTTTTACGTATTGGGGAAACATTTGTGATACTTAACCTTCATTGCCAACTTGACTGGATTTAGAATCACCATGGCAACACAGCTCTGGGTGTGCCTGTGAGGGTATTTCCAGAAGAATTAACCAGGGAGGGAAGATAAAGATGAACGTGGTTGGCACTGTCTTCCAAGCTGGGGTCCTAGATCAGCATGAACGTGGATGGCACTGTCTTATAAACTGGGGTCCTAGGCTCAATAAAAGCAATAAGAACTGAGCACCAGCATTCGGATTTATGGGCTTCCTGATTGAATGTACAGTGAATAGCTGCCACAAGCTCCTCCAGCCATGACTCACATAATGATGGATGTTACCGTAGAACTACGAGCCAAAGCAAACACTTCCTGAACTTGCTTAAGGCATTTTGTCATAGAAATAAATGAAATATCTAGCGTCATCTTTAAGACCTAACTAGGAAAACCAGGTTGGGGTGTATTCCAATTCCCAACTCCCTAGCAATCAGCTTAGACTCCAGAGTGCTTGTGGAACACGTCTGCTCTGTTTCCTTTGAGGTTCATCTCCTCCTCCTTGCCCCCTATTATCTGCACCAGTCAGGGCATCAGGAGTTATGGAATATCAAACACAAAATTAAATCATGCCTTTTGTTTTTACTGGTCCTGGGAATTGGGTCTCACCCATGCTAGGCAAGTCTTCTACCACTGAATTATATCCCTAGTTCTCTTTTTACCTGTTATTTTCTTTTACTGTTGGGAAAAAGCTAACATAGATTTATTAGGGAAAAAATGATAAAGAACTCCCAAGAGTGGGAAACGCCCCAAGGGAGGAAAAGCTTTTACCTTCTATTTTGAGACAATGTCTAAGCACCCTGACTGCTCTTGAACTCACTCTGCAGCCCAGACTAACTTTACAATCTTCCCACCTTAGAATCCCGAATAGTTGGGATTCCAGACCTGAGCCACTGGACCCAGCTAAAGCATAGTCTTTAATGTCCTCTGTAACATTTCAAAAGCCAGCAGGCAAAATTGTTTGCCATCAAGCCTGATGAGCTGCATTTCCTTACCAGAACCCTTGGAGGGAAGAGAGAACACTCAAAAGCTGTCCTCTGACCTCCACACACACACTGTGGCACACATGTACACACTCACGTGCACACACACAGCGGCACACATGCACACACTCCCTAGACACACAACATACACTCATTTTTATTGTATTTTTAATTGTATATTAAATACAATTTAAAAACCCAGAGAAGAGTTTGGGGAAACCTACAGTTTACTCTTTCCCTGGGAGGGACAGCCCCAGAATGTGTGGCAGTTTATTTTAAAATGGTTCCTTCTTGGCCCAACCAGATCTCAGCAAACTCTAAGAGCTAGACACCCCAGGAGGTAGAAAAAGAGAGTGCTCCTGATTGCTTTTAGCCACTCTCTCCCTCCCACCTTCTCTCCTATAAACAGGGCAGCATAAACCTCACTATGTAGAGATGAGGGTTGCAGTAAGATTTCCAAATGGCTTTGCTTCTGGCTGCCATTAATATACAGACTCACCATCGTTACCTGGCTAATTGAGAAAGCTGTAAAATGTTGTCACTCATGTGACGTGAATAAGCAAAAATATCTTTGTTCCATTTTCTGTTTTCTTTGCTTTTTTAGATGGAGTATTTGGAAAGAATGAAGGGTGAGGTGTGTTGAGATCAATGGGGGTTTTCGATGCGCTCTCTCTGTTTGATCATATTCAGGAAGTCTACTCAAATAGAGACTCGCTCCCTGCTCACCTCATCTTCCCCAAAGTCTCTAAAATGATCCCTAGCATGCCATTACCAGCTGAGCTTAGAAGCACACAGCAAGCTCAGCACTTGAGAGCCTGAAGCAGGAAGACTGCTATAAGTTTGAGGCTAGCCTGGGGCTATAAGCAAGCATCTGTCTCCTAAGAATATGTTGAAATAGATACACAGACAGCTGTAGAAATGGCTCAGCAATAAGAATAATTACTCTTGCAGACGACTAGAGTTTGTTTCCATAACCCATATCTGGCAGTTCAAAACCACCTATGAACTCTAGCTCCAGAGTTTTGGTACCTTGAATACCACAGGTACCTGCACACAGACACAATTTTCAAACCAAAGAGGAACTTGAGAAATGACCTAGTTGTATCATGCAGAAAGTCTTGCGTTTTATATTTTATACCCTGCTCAGGAGCTGGAGGCAGGGAGAGCAGAAGTTCAAGTTCATCAAGTGTGAGACCAGCCTGGTTTAAGTCGACCCCTGTTCCCTCTCCCCTCGCACAATGCCACCACTACATAGGCTTATCAAGTACAGCAGCCATTCATTACACAACTGCGTGATTCCATATGTCCTCAAAATGCTCTGCCTGGGGGGTGAGGCCTTGGCTCAGTAGTAGAGCACTTACCTAGTTTATGCAGAGTCTGGGTTCAATCCCCAGAACTTCAGATACAAGGATGACTGAAATGCTCCACACAGTATGAGTGCATGGGGCAGAAGCGACAAGGATGGACTCTATTTTTTTCTTCCAATTTGATTTCAAAGGAAGAAAAAAAATAGCAAACTACCTAATTAAATTCATACTAGCTTCTCATTTTGGGTTTGTTTTGTCTGAGAAAAGGTATCTCTGTGTAGTCCTGGCTGTCCTGAACTCACTCTGTAGACCAGGCTGGCCTTGAACGCAAAGTTCCTCCTCCCTCTGTCTCCAAGTGCTGGGATTAAAGTCATGCATCACCACCTCCCCAGCATACTACTTTTTATTTTACTCACCCAGCCCCCACCCAGAGTCTGGCACACCTTAGGCAAGTGTTTCCTCCCACTCTTGAGCAGCACCCTCAGTTCCTCACACTGATTCTCTAAATTGTCCCACCTCTCCTAACTGTGAAGTGCACTTATCTTTGGGATCAGTCCTTGCTGAATTAACAAGGGTTCTTTTTGGCTCTCTTCATCTTTAAGAAATCTCTGGATACATTTCAGCAGCAGGGAACAATTCTGGAACTCCTTTTTATCCAGTTCCTGGGCATCAGAACACAGCAACTTCAAATCAGAATGCTTCCCGGTTGTGCATACATTGGGGTTTCAGTCCCCAGACAAACCAAACCACTTGCCTCATTTATTGATCTGTCAAGATGGTGTAGGAAGAGGTGGTTATATTTTTGAGGCACATAGCTCTCTTTCTGCTGCAGACATTCTTCTATTACGTGAAGCCCTTTGTCATGGAACGCATCAGTAACAAGAGACTGAAGCTGGGAAAGAGATGATTTGTGGATTACTAATTTTCCAAAGCACATTTGCCTTATATCGATAGCTCAAAATAATGGTGTACTCAACAAAGGTTCTCTGAGAGTTGGAGATGTAGCTCAAAGGTAGAACTTTCTCCTAGCACAGGCAGGGACCTGGGTTCAAGGCACAGCACCACCAAAGAAATGAATCAATGTAATTTTGCGGCTGGGGATATAGTTTAGTGGTAGAACACATAACTAGCGTGGGAAAGACCCTCTGTGGCAACACCATCAAATCAAATAATGATTATAATTTAGTGTGAAACAACATAGAGCAAAAATACAATTAAGAGATCAGTCTTGAACTAGAAAATAGCAAAGTGTCTGCTGACAAGCACTCAATAAGATGTTAGTTTTCATTCGCTTTAGACAAAAGGTCTAGACATGGAAACTACAAAATAGCAAAATAGTCTACTGATAATTACTTATCAAAATGTCAGAGCCTTCCTTAGCATCAGACAAAAGTTCTAGATGCTGGGCTGGAGGACTCCTGCTGAGGCTGCAGGTGCGGGGGGGGGGGGGGGGGGGGGCGGGTGGGGTTCCTGCAGTGGCTGCAGGCGCGGGGCTGGTGGGGCTCCTGCAGAGGCTGCAGGCATGGGGCTGGTGGGGCTCCTGCAGAGGCTGCAGGCGCGGGGCTGGAGACTGCTGCAGCAACTGCACCTCCTCTGAGTTTCCTAATAGTTCAGGCTCCCTATGGACTCTGTTTGAGCTGAAGAACTATGGACTGGGGGGAAGCTGTGCTTTGATTACAGGAAAACAGGTGAAAGCACTCGGTAATGTTGCAGAGTCTAAACCAAAATATTCAAGTCTAGGCTCACCCACCAAAGGTCAGAAAAACAACAGAGGAAAGAAAAATAAAACTAATATCTAGAATAAAGCAAGGTCTTCCTTGCCTCAAGTCTTTTCACACAGTAATATCCAGACTCCCCATCCTTACCACCATCCCTTTAACGAAGCTCACTTTCCTGCCCCAGAAGCGGGTTAAGTACCAACTTAAAAGCAGGGCTTCCAGGACCACCTTAAATGAAGCAGTTCAGATGCTTTCTTGCCCTACAACCCTGCTCCTATTAGGTTTCTGCACCTGTTGTTTGGCTCTCTGCAGTTTCTAAGTTCCCTGAGGATAGGCATGGAATTTGTTTTATTCAGAGCTGGCTACTTCTACCTGGAATAGGTGCTAAACACAGAATAATTTACCATAGGGTTCTGGAGGGATAATTCAAGTGAAGTCCCACAGGCATGGTTATAATGTCGTACCACAATAGAGAAAGCCAAGGTTTCTCTGCTCCAGGCTTAATGAACAATAGTGCTGAGGGGCCACCCAGGACTCCCAGCTATAACACATATAGAAAGAAAGTAAGCTTTATCATTACCCAGAAAGCACCTTGGATCTTGTCAGTTCCAGTACCCTCCTTAACAGACTGCAGAGGGTTTTCATTTCCCTGTGTGCAATAAAAAGTTAGTCTTTAAAAACATAAAAGTCAAAAGCATATTTAAAGTTCTAAAAATAAAAAGAAACGTTTATGTTGCTTTTTTGGGCAGAGTTTGTTGTTGTTTGTACCTATCACTAGTCATGGGTTTAAATAAGATAATGTTGTTTTTTAATGTTATCTCCTTTGACATGATCTATGTAAACAAAGCACCATCTCATGAGCAAAATAAAAAAATCTGAATAAATATCCATACAGGATAAACATAAACTTTATAGAGAGCACCATAAATTAGAAAGGGGCTTTAAGTTAAAAAAAATCATGTTTAAATTCAAATTCACATTCAAAATTCATATTACAAGTCATAATAAGGAATTAGATTCAAAATGTCATTATAGTTATGACATAAAGTTTAACATTCGGATTTAGGTAGCGAAATTTCAAGGTTCAAAGAGCCACAGCACACAGAAGAGATTTCCAAGCATGAAGTGAGCTGGCACATTTTCATTAAGGGGTGTTGCCTGGTCGATGCTTCTGCTTTTACACACAGCCCCCAGCCTCTTCATTTGCCCCTGACAATTTCATGGGAAAGTACAGGATACACAAGATAAATCTCTGCTAAACGGCTCTTTTTAAGTCACCTGTAGCTGGCTGCGGTGGTACTGCCTGTAATCCCAGCCCTTGGGGGATTGATCAAGAGTTCAAAATTATCCTCAGCTATGTGGAAACTCTACAGCAGCCTGGGCAAACGAAACCCCGTCTCACATAAGACAAAAGAAAAATCTACTTTAGAATAACACTTATTTCTAGGAACTTAATCAAAATCCCTAATGAATGTCAAGTGTATTTTGCAGCTTTGTTACCATCGTTATGTATAAATAGGAGAAATCAAAGTCCCGTGTCCATCTAGAAGACTGAAGTTTTTCACAGTCAGTGGCAGGAAATCGAGAGCTGAAAAGCGGGCGCTCGAGGGAAATTAAGACCCTATCTGTTGCCAGGACTGTCCTTTTCTTAGTGGTGGCTGGGTTACCGAGACCCGGAAAGGGATAAAGGGGTCTGTAGAAGCGAAAAGCGCTCCATAGCTCTTTCAAAGGAGCTGTGTGGTTCCAGGTCTCCATTCTCCCTCCCCAGTGGCTTTTTGAGCCTGGAATCAGGATCCCTGTTGTTTTCCCCACCTTTCGGAACGCTGCCAGTCAGCGACAAGCAAACCCAAGCGGTTGATGCGCCCCAGGGTACCCTGATACCCCGCCCCCCAAGGACTTATCTGGACCGCTAAACGCAAGGTGCTGGGCTACTGCACTCGCCCGTGGGAGCTGCCTAGCAGAGTGCGGGGGAGGACAATGCTCCCTCAGTCTTGGGACCCAGAAAGGGAGGCTGGGCTCCTCCCCAGATGTCACTCACCTCTGGCATCTCGAGGTTTCAAGGGACGCTGCCTCCTCCGCAGTGCCTACTCTACCAGCCCCACACTACCACTCCTGCCTCAGATGGTCCAAGATCCCCACTGAGATCAAAGCGAGAGACAGTCGCCGGTGATTCTTGGAGCTCAGTCTTCTCCAAGAACTCCAATTTGATGAACCTGCTCTTGAACTCTACAAGCCTCCGGTGATTCTAGAAAGCACGTGTAACTAGAACAACAGGATCCGGCTGTGGGCTTGGACGCACACCTGCAGAAGTTCTGAACTCGCACCCTTGTGGCTGAAGCCAGTGACGTTTACTGCCCTCTGGAATCTAACCGAGTTGTTAGCCCGAGTCTCTGTGGGGGCTTGGGTTTGGTTTGGGTTCAGGGTCTCATTCTGCACTCTAGACTGATCCGGCCGGAGCTCCATCTGACTCCGAAGCTACAGAAGACGTTTGTCTGCTTGAACAAAAACCACTGTGAATCTATAATCCCTGTTTAAATCCCTGTGTAAACTGCAAGCGTGGCAGTTTATCTAACCAGTACCGAACAGATCAGCTCCCAGAAAATGTGATATCAATACACTGCAGTTATTTTTCCTATTTTAACCTAAACCTTGCAAATTCAGAGGCTTGCTCCTTCCAAGAATAACAGATTCTTGCATATTAAATAGCGGTCAAGAATGCGGCAGACAGGAAGGCAGAATATCTTACAGCAATACAAATACCGACATGGGGAAGAAAGCATCATCTCTAAGAAGCGGTGATCGAAATCCAACTGAAATGTATTTCACTTCAGAAAATAAAAATCGATTTTTAACATTAGACAGGAAATATCATTTTCAGAATTTGGGAGAAATTAGATACTCCCGAACCCTACAGTGGCAATGCATCCCAATCTTCAGATGTTATTGAAAGCAATGCAAAACATCAATACACCATAATTTATTAGTATTTTCACTTTGATTAGCTTCTTTTACTAACAAATTTTACCCCCACACAATTATAGGATAATCTGTAGCACGTGTTTGAATTCTTCACAAACTAAATATCTTCTTGCTGTTGCGTTTTGTTTTCTGAGACCAGGTCTCAAGTAACCTGTTATGGCCTCAAACCTTTGATCCTCTTGCATCTTTCTCTCAGCTACTGGCATTACAGGATTGCACCATCACCCTGGGCTGAGGACGTTGGAGGGGGGTTGTTTCCTCGCTTTTCCCAAACAAAATAGTCTGCCTTTAACATATAAGTTACGTGTTCTATTTGTGTGGTGGAGGTCAGAGCACCAACCTCCAGGAGTCTGTTCCCTCCTCTTCTGCCGGGTCCAACTCAGACCTTTCAGCTTGTTTAGCGAGTGCTTCCATTCATTAAGCTGACTCGTGGGCCCATCATTTATGTTTTTGATCGGCTCTAGCAATCTTCCGAAAGCATAGAGCGAAGGAACATTCTAACGATATTTACCGTGTGGCCAGATTCAGCGGTCGTGTTAAATGGCCACTTTTGAAGTTATTTTTAATATATTCAGAAACATAAACTGTCTTAAGCTGTCACATTTAATTTGAAGGTTTAAATTTGTTTTAAAACAATCGATGGTTTAAACTTAATTTTGAAAGACAAGCCAACAAATAAAGCAACTGAATGGCGGAAGTGGCTTGGACCTCCACCGTTGGTAACATGAGGGCCAAAAGCGGAGACACATTGCTGTCCCCAGATACACTTCAGTAAGGTCCCCTGCGAGAGCGACTTTTAGAAACGGACTTCGGTGAGACGTCCTGAAAATTGATAAATCACATCTGGATAGGACCTTTTGTATTTAAAATAAGAATCCAACTTGGAGCCAGAGGAAGAAAGCTCAGGAAATGCTCCCAGCGGGCGCCTCCCCGCTTCTCTCACTCCCGGTCCTGACCCGTGGTAGGCTGTGGTGAAGCCTGACTTTCTACTGAGCAAGCACTTGACTAGGAGGTAGAGGCCCTGGATCTTGCAAGATCCCTATTTTTTGAGGCTATAGCACAGAAACGCCGGCGGTAAAACGCACCAGCCCTTTCGGGGTTTGCACAGAATCCCGCCGGAGGCGCTTATCTGGCACGGCCCAAGTAAAGTGGAACTGTTCCACGCTGCGTTGCTGGGTCTGAGATGCCAGTGAGCACCTGAGCTGGGAACACCTCCTCTAACAGCGACCTGTGGGGTCTGCTCTCTGCTCTCTTAATTTTATGTCTTTATTTGCTTATCTACTTATTTACTTACTTACGTTTTCATTGTTTTGGCTGCGGACGACAATGGAAGCGTGCCGACTGCAAAGCAAGCCGGGAGAGGAGATTCTGGAAGCCCATCTTTGCTCGTGGTCCGGGATCCTGCACTGCAGCAGTGGCGAGCGAGCGAGCGAGCGAGCGAGCGAGCGAGCGAGAGAGAGAGAGAGAGAGGTTTTCTTTTGTTGAGTGTCCCAGGTGCCAGAGCAATCAAAAAGAGACAGATAAAAGAGAAAAGTGGCCTGATTGGGGGAGCCTTAAGCTTTCTAGACAATCTAGACAACGGTTCTCTGGTCCTCCAAAGCCACGGAGGATAAAGATGATACCTTGGGAATAGTAATGACGGTGGCGATACAGTCTGTTTAACATGGGTGTTCTTATGGGCGACAACTGAAAGCTCACACACCCCTGGTCTCTCTCTTTAACTGTGAATGCTGACCGAGAGAGAGGAGAGGGGCTCAGAGCTCCAGCTGCAGAGTTGACTCTCCTCCCGCCCTCCCCATCTATCCTACATTCACGTGACCCCAGCCTCCAGATTCACTTCCCAGTACTTTTACTGGCGGTTGGGACTGTCCCAGCCTGACCTGTGCCTAGACTTGAGAACTCACTGGAATACTAAACTTATTCTCTGAGCAAGCATCAGCGCAGACTTGGGAACAGCAACTTCTGCAAGAACCCAGAGCTCCGAGGAGGCTGACCCCTAGGCTGCAGGTGTCCACTGCTGCCTCTCCAGGCTCCCTCACTTTTCCCACTGCACAAAGCTCTGGGGAGACTTTGTTGGAACCCTTTGCTTCCAGAGCCTCAATCCAAGCCCCCTCCAGAAGTAGCAGAGTGGTTAACAGCAGTCGGTGATGGTTTGCAGCAAAAATGAAGCTGTCCTACTTACTCCCCTCGGCCACCTCCTTAGCTTCAGTTTCCCTTCGCTTGGCAGTTCACTTTAACTCTCCCTGAATTCTTGGCTCTGGCTAGATGGAGAAGCCTGCTGCTGGCTGCTGGGGCTTCAGGTGCTGGAGAGGTTGTCCTGTAGAGGCAGAGCAACCGAGTGGGTCAGATATGAACCTGTTCAAAGACGCTAGCCTTCAGAGGAAGACATTCCAGCACTGCAACCAAGGACAAGGCACCACCTGGGTTCTCTGTCTCTCTCTCTCTGTCTGTCTCTCTCGCTGTGGGTCTGTCTTGTGTGTCTCTCTCTGTGTTTCTTCCCCCCCCCCCCCCCGTCTGTCTTTCTCTGCCCCCTCACCTTTCTCCTCCCTCCTCCTTCTATTCCTCCTCCTCTCACTCACCCCCCTCAGTCCACTTCTCATTTTGGGGAAGGAGTCACCCTGTGTACTCCTTGCTTTTATTTCTCTTTCAGGATCCTGGTTGGAGAGCCCTGGAGGCCCCTGCAGATGCCAGCAGACACCACTCAGGACGCAGACTCCCTGCTTTCCTACGGGATGAAACTCACGTGGGACATCAACGATCCACAGATGCCTCAGGTGAGGGGGACACTGTGGAAGTGACACTGTCCAGCCAGAAGGGAAACTGCAAGTTAATTCATGATGAGACCTCACACAGACTTCTGAGAGTCTTCAGATACTCAGGGAAGTTGGACTCTCCAGAAAGCAGAATTCAGTTTAGAGATGTGTCTACTTAGAACAATTTACTCGCGCATCTCTGAAACTCTAAACAAAAGCAGCAAAAATACAGATCTATGTTCCTAAGCGGTCACGCCAGGCCACTACCTCCATTCTCTGAGCCAAGGCAGAAAACCGAGTCTCTTTTTCTTGGAGGCCGACACAGGAGGATTGCCACAAATTCAAGGCCAACCTGGGCTACTTAACAAAACCTCATTTCAAAACAAAACAACAAAAATCCACTCCTATTTGCTTATTCAAAGTTCAAGAGACAGAATTCTGAATAAATCTCAGCAAATGTCAGGATCACTGATTCTCACATGACCAATTCAGACCCTGGGAGGTGACTGGAATCGGAAACAAATATCCAGACTGGAGTATTCTGCCACCCGTGAAGCCACCTTGGTCCCACACTCACTTGGCTAAGCCATCATCCATTCAGGGTGAATTTGTTTTTCATTATCAGAGCCAAGTTCAGGAAATGAACTAGGCAACTTATGTTTGGTTAAAACTAATGACTTTCAAGTCAGTCCTGCAGGTGTGTGTGTGTGTGTGTGTGTGTGTGTGTGTGTGTGTGTGTATGTGTGTAGTGTTCATGGGTGCACAGGCGCATTTTGGGGCTGGAGAGGATTTGGTTTCCTAGCATTTGTGAAGGTGGATTCTAGTATAGTCCAGGTTCAGGGCTTGAGACTTGGTGTTTATTTGACCTCTATGCTGTGATACCCAGAAAAGAGACGTGTGTGGGTAAGCTGTGGAGCCTCTGGTAGAATTCAGCATTATTTCTATGTACATATGTGTGGAGAGTTTGACTTGCTTGCATTCAGCTTGCGCTCTTTAGTGTTTCACAGGGCAACTGCTCTGAAAATAGACTGCAGTACGCATGTCCCATTGCTGCTATCTTGCGTCACCGTAAATCTCCATAGGAAACAATCTCATCTTGCATTTTGAAAGTGAATCAGATCCAAATGATGCAATAAGGACATGACCTCAAAGATGTGTAGATGTCCTGGTGAAAAGGAATTATTTTTATTTTGGGAGGAATTTTATTGTGCATATCCTGTACATGCACATGTACATGTGAGCATGTTCACGCCATGATGCACGTGTGTGTGGAGGTCAGAGGATGACTTTCATGAGTAAACACTTTCTTTCATGG